GAGATATGAACGTAGTTTACTGTAAGTAAACATTATTATATTAGTGATATAAGGTGGCCGGGTGGGTGGTGGCGGGCCTGGTGCTGGTGGGAAGTGTGAGCAAGATGTGGCTACATAGCCCTGAGCCACGCGACCCTGACCATGACGCTCAGCTTCATGTACTTACTCCTGCCTGCCAGCCAGCCCGTCCCTGTCGAGGTTACCCTCGCTAGCTCCACACGCCGCCACGATTTCTAGATGTTTGGTGCTGTGCTTAAGGCCTATCAACCAACCCCCCCCCCCCCCCCTTCTCGAAGGGGTTAAGACGACGACCACGAGAGCTTACTGACCTGTTAGCAAGTTTATTTCAGTCCTGAACTTAGTCCAGGAACAAAGTAAACTTGTATATACACCAAGGTGACAGGTACACCTCTGTGTATATACACCTAGATGATGACGTGATAGTTGGTTGTTGACGTAATTGTTTATACTCCCAGCTAGCTAGCTAGATATATATATATATATATATATATATATATATATATATATATATATATATATTATATATATAATATATAATATAAACTAGATTAGTTTTATATATTTATATATATAGCTCTAGTATATTTACTAAATTTCTCTCCGAATATCTGCTTTATCCAGTTGCAAACTTCATTTTAAAATGTGAAATGGATATAGGTACGCCTTGGCTGTACGGGTGTGATGGGTGGAAGACTGCCAAATAGGAAAGCCATTGAATCAGTTTTAAGAATAGCCTAAATGAAAGTGACTATGTTAACACGATCTGCCTCGATGAGCCAAGACGCATATTGCAATACTTATATTACCAAGGTTAAAAGTTTATAATTGTCCACGGCATTTTGTGTTGGAGAGGGTTGTTTGACATGTGATTTTTCAAATGTGTCTACACTTAGCTTGTTTGCTATGGCACTTGGGTGTAATAACAAGTGAAGGGTGAAGAAAAAATCAATAATATTGGTAACTGTGGTAATGTTTCATCATGTTCGAAACGTGGTAGCTTAATATCCAGCATCTCTGCACAGATACACCTGCAGTCTTGCTATGATTGGTTGATAAGTAGCAGGAGTTTGTGATAGGATTTTTCTTAGATGTCCAGGAAATATGGAAGTGTTAACGTTTGGCAATAGCGTAGTGTGGCGGGCGCCATTCCTGGACGTACCACGCGACCCTGGCCTTGAATGTGCTCAACAATGCTCCTCCACCTACAACGCCCACTCATATAAATGATGACGTTTTGTTCCATCGTGCTTCTTTATATGTTTGCTTTAATGACATGTTTTATGAAGCAATTATGTACTGGTTGGAGTGGGTCGTTGAGCCTGTTGAAGAGGTCACGTCAGCCTCCAGGCGTATCAGTAGTGGGCCAGATAATTTAAGTGGCAGACATCATCTGTGATAGGAAGGACCAAAGATTGTGGCTTAATTGTTTGTTTGACTTGGTTGTCTGTTACTAATCACCGATGTCATATTGACTAGAATAAAGCCCTTACAATTATGTTAATAATGACGAAGTTAATTACAAAGCTTGTTTCGCCCTAAACGAGTTTGGATGCCTGACTATCTGAACTTAATTGCTGTCCTTACCGATTTCATCTTACCTTAACCACCATTTAACTTAACCACATATTCATTAAGCAGTTGACCTTGTATATGTTAGTGAAGCCCATACAGGGGAAGGGAAGGGAACCATCAAGGGAAAGCACCAAGCCATTACGACTATCAGGATAATGATTTGGAATGGGATGGTGGAATGGAATGGTGGACAACCACGTGGACGGTCGGGGATTGAACACAGACGGTCTCGCGACGGTCTTGTATGTAGCGAGACCGTCGCTCTACCGTGTAACTGCTTCGTGAATCTGGCCCAAGGGACTTAAATTCGAGTTACGTACAGTAACATCTTTTAACTCCCATTCATCACTAAATAAAAAGTTAATGTAACTACCTAGACAACAGGCAAATGCAAATAAAATTCCTACAAAAACACTGACTACATCGACCTCGGTAACGTAGATCCTCAAGGCTGTTTTAGCTCCAGCATTACACGCACTTTGCATAAATGACACACTTGACCCAGTATGCCTCACTTAGCTGCCTTGTGTTATGCAGACGTCACTTAACTCATTATTTGTAATTCAGTTGTCAACTTGCCACACAAAGCACAAGCTGAGGTAGAGTAAACATCCTGGGAATACAAGTGACATATATCATCCCAATAAAATCTAAAATCACACATTTTATAATAAAGAAATGAACGCAATCTCATTTAAATTATATTCACGCTCCCTCGTACCCTAAGAATACCAAAGAAAAACCTAAGAAAACACACTATCACCCAGACACTTCTAAGCTCTCAAATCGCCTGGACAATTATACAGAATAAGACATGCCCAAATAAGTACAAAGAGTCACTTGCACAAAGCCCTTGCACGTCCATTTGTAACTTGAATCTCCTGCACTATGACTTGCTAATACTGATCGAACAAAACTACAGACAATTGGAAACACAGCGCCGAGATGGATTTTCAAGACTGGCTGGCAAGACTTCTCCACTAGCGTAGTCCTAGATGCTAGGGCAAACATACCAGGGTTTAATGATTATTGTAAAATGTTACCCGACAAAAAAATTGACACACCATGGATACCATTACTTTCATCAGTGTAATACCATTACGCAGACGACCTAGAAGTACTGTACACTGAACCTTTTAACATAATTCATTGTCCACTTCTACAACCTCGCTACACGGGGGGAAAAAAAACTCACTCGTCCAACACGCCTAAAGACAGACAATTTTATTGTATGTGTAACCCGCTTAATTGTATAATACAACCATTAATGCAACAACGGTTTGGTTGACGCCAAACCCGGAACAGTGACGAAGTTTATCGCACTAAATTAACTCGTCACTGCCTATTCTTCTCCTGTCCCTACTTTCCCTTTCGCCCAGTGGTAAAAGTGTGGTAATCTTTAAGTAAATACAAAGTAACCTTGGTGACTGCCGTGTTTGGTCATGTTCATGATTTTAGTAAATACTATTCTGGGTTACAAAATTATGAGTGATAAGATTATCACTTCAAAGAACAAATATAAAAGTATAGCTGCATATTTAAGAAATTCATGTATCGATTCGTGGTGTAATACTTACAGGGCATCTCAAGATTATTCTTATGGCTTCATTTTGTTTAGTCTGTCTTTACCAAAACAAGAAATGGCAGGTGCAACATAGTCAGTAATCACAGTATACCTTACCTGTACCTGGATGGGGTTCTGCGAGTTGTTCTACTCCCCAAGCCCGCCCGGGGCCAGGCTTGACTTGAGAGCTTGGTCCAACAGTGCATACTATTGGAATGTGAAATGTAAAACAAAACAAAATTAATATTTGTGTGCTATATGGATTTGAGCCCCCCTTGAGGGACCTTAAATAGACGAGGGTCCTTAGTGGACCAAACTCTCAAAAGTCGAGCCTGGCCTCGGGCCGGGCTTAGGGAGTTGAAGAACTCCCAGAACCCCATCAAGCAGGGTAGAAATAGCCTAAGCTACTCTATCCTCTTGCGATGCATTTCATTATCTAGATAAACTTGCTTGAAGTTACAGGATTTGTTGCCTGCGGGTTTGTTATTGTTAAAAGCTTGGTGATCGAACTACATTACCGTAGCTAGTGCTACGATGCAAGGTCATGATAAGCAGACTTTGTGCATATACTGGCTTAGAATTTTATCTACAATAGTTCAAACCTGGGGTATCCCTGCCGAGATTTTGGGTACTGTCATCTGGGTTAGAGTACATAGGCATTCGTGAACATTGGTGAGAGTGTCTTCTTTAAATTCATCGATATTATTTCAATTACATAGTGACGTAAACCATAAGGTATGTGAATAGTTTTGCCTACAAAACTACTAAGTGTACATTTAGTCAGATCTACTTCAGCAGGTGTGTTGTAATGTGTAAGTTCCTAGAAGTATGTTGACTTTATTTGATGATCCATAGATGATAGATGAATTGACTAGTATAAATTAAATTCTTTCAGAAGAAACACCTGTCTGTGTGTAGGACGCTCGGGAACATAGGAAGAGGGGATGGGGAAGGGGGTTGTGTGGAGAGAAGGGGAAGTGGAGAGAAGGGGGGGGCATCGTGTGGAGGGAAGGGGGGGCGTCGAGTGGAGAGAAGGTGGGGGGCGTCGTGTAGAGAGTAGGGGAAGGGGGGGGTCGTGTGGAGGGAAGAGGGGGGGACGTCGAGTGGAGAAGGGGGGGGGGGTCATCATGTGGAGAGAAGGTGGGGACACACTCAGTGTCCCATCTTCTCAGCACTGTCATATACAGTAAGCCTTTTGAAGCTACTGACGGTTTTGCCGGCCTCCACCCTCTCACTTCACTTGTTCCAACAGTCCACCACTTTTTCTGCAAAAGAAAACTTTCTAACATTTTTTCAGCGCCTTTGTTTCCTTAGCTTGAATCTATGACCTTTTGTTCTTGAGGTTGCCCATTTTGGGAATTCCTCTTCGTCTTGAAAATACGAAGTCGATTTATAGTTATTATTAGTTTAGTCGATTTATGTTATTACTGTATTTTGTAAGTGGGGAGCATATCGCTTTTTTTTTTTCCTTTCATCTCCTTGCTTTGGAATATTTAATGCCTCCTAGTCTCTTCATAACTCGTTTTTTCAATTCCGGAAGCCATTTTGTAGCATGCCTTTGCTCCTTTTCGAGTTTATTTATGTGCTTCTTGAGACATGGCACCAAACAACTGCTGCATATTCCTATTTTGTTCTCAAAATTCAGGAACAGTTTCTTTAGTATTTCACCATCCATGTGATTTCTGAATTGTAATTCACAGATTATTAGTGATTATTATTATAATCAGGTAACTCACAGATTACCACAATTTTTCAGCATTTTATGTTCTTGAATAATTTTATATTCTACATTGCTTCTTAAGAAGTCATGGTATATCTTACAGTTTATTTGTTTTTGTTTCAGGTGGTATGAAGTCTGTGGGTCGGGGTGAGGGCGGGTCGCTACAACCTCGCCTCACCCGGGAACTGGCCATGTCTCCTGACTATACTCGCCCAAAGCGGCTAGACCTCCTATTGGATATGCCACCCGTACCTAGAGAAGCCTCCCTTAAGCATGCATGGAATGCAGATGACCGATCTCTCAATATCTTTGTTAAGGTACTTTTATTTTTTTTTTACCATGAATGGTTTGATAAATGTTTAAATTTTAATTAAGCACTTTGAAAGCCTTTTACTTGAAATGTTAAATTTTTCCTTTTAAAAAGTTGATGACTACGTATGATATACTGTACTGTAACTATACCGATATGATATAGTCATTTAGGGGCACTGCATTTGACTGTGTTTAAATATAGGTTATGAAGACAACTAATGTGTGGTTTTCACACACAATGCATTCTCTTGACTGTTCTGTTTCTTTGTCTGTGGAATTCACTGAAAGAAGTAATGAAAGCTAACTCCATCCACAACTTGAAGACACAATAAAAATAGTTAGGAAAGTTAAACACCTAGTACAAAAAGGCTGTTTGGCAGGGTATAATTAACTAGATCCTATTTTTATTTTGGTCCTTTGCACCTTGCGATAATTTTCTTGTCATTACAGTACAGTACTGGAAAATAAATATAACAATTCCGTGCAGTTAACTACCTGTATTGTACCGTCTCGGTCAACCACTAATGGCATCCTCACAAATGCACAGCTTCAAAAATTATAGGACATTTCAAGAATTTACTCATCTTTCATAATGCAGTAACTTTATTATAATGTTTTAATTTTATCTGGAACTTTTTAACAATAAAACTAACATTTAATGAAGTACAGTACCTGCAGAGTAATATGGTAATTGGCTACTGTGTTTATTTTCTTTATATTTTAGGATATACGGTATACAAATTATTTTAATGCCTTCAAAATATTAGTTTGTCCATGTGGGTGTTTTCATCAATTTCGGATTGATGCAGTTATATTTTTCCTCAGGAGGATGACAAAATGACGTTCCACCGGCACCCTGTAGCCCAAAGTACAGATTGTATTCGAGGAAGAGTTGGGTACACACGGGGCCTTCATGTCTGGGAGATCCACTGGTCCACTAGGCAACGTGGTACTCATGCAGTGGTGGGAGTAGCTACCGATGAAGCCCCTCTACACTCGCAAGGGTATCAGGTTAGTTGAAGCTTCACCACTGTAAACGGTGTCATAAACTCTTCCGAGAAAAATATTATTGCTTGAAGAGATTAGTCACCCGGAGAGATATTAAGAAATAGTTGAGTAGACTAGGTACAGTACTAAATAGTAATAATATAATAGTGAGAATAAGAATTAGAGTAGTTAGTCTACAGTGTGTATTGGGGAAAGTGTATTGTTCTTACGGCTGTTCATTATATAAAGTACTGTACATGGATGGGGTCATGAGAAGTCAAGGCTATGAGCCTTATGTGTGATAATAAAGTTTTTAACAAATGTAGCTCTAGCAGAATGGTGAGATTTATATAGATACAGTAATACAAATCCCTGGCTAGGGAGAGATGTTGCATGCAGTTGTAGGGCTTGTGGATAATGTGTTTGCTGAGGAACTGTAAATTCCATCCGAGTGATCTTTGGAGCTTTTAGTGAATATGTCCAGTGTAAATTGAATGAAAATATATTGTATTTGAATAATGAAGTTGGGTAGCTGTTGCTTGCTTGATGTCAATTCAGTAAATGCTGATAGTATGACATCATTTTTGACACAAGGCATTATAATTACTGTAGATGGGTTTGTTAATACAGCACTATATTGGGGGTGTAATTTTTGTTTAGTTATATACTAATATTATCTTTCTCTTTACAGAGTTTAGTGGGCAGCAACGACCAATCATGGGGCTGGGATTTAGGACGCAATAAGTTGTATCACAATGCTAAACAAGGCAATTCCGGCATTACATATCCTTCACTTTTAAATAATGATGAGACATTTGTCGTACCAGATAAATTTTATGGTGAGTATTTTTCATTGGGGTGTAATAACAAAAAGTGATAAAAGGAAAGGGGGAGGAGGGGAATGCATTAATTCTCTTGGTGCTTTGGTGATTGCATGTGCTGGGAGTAGACATGATCTCAACACTAATATCAGAAGCTCATGTGAACAGGATAACATTTAAGAATGTAAACGAGGAGGCTTTCAAGACCATACACACTGTCTATGTGAGACATTACTTGTGTATGTAGCACTGGCATGGAACCCACACATTGTGAAGCACAATTGAAGCAGCAAGAACACAACAAAGTGGACTTAGGAAGCCTTTCTAAATTTAAGTGATAGGACTAGGGGAGATAAGTGAAAATGGAACATGCAATTGAGTCAGATTCTTGTTCCCTGCACAGTGGGTGGCCAGCAAGTAGTGAAGGAAGAGATTGTTGAAGTAACCATAACTAAGAAAAAATGTGATAAAAATGTTAATGTTGAAAGGTAATTAGCTACCAGATATAAACGTCTAGGAGGCAAGGCATAGAGAGTTAGATCTTGCTCTTCCGTAGTCACAGAGTCAGACAACTTCTGTTTGAATCAGTAAAATGCTGCTTAAACAAAATCCAGTTTTAAGGACAAAACCTTGTGCAATGCTTCTTTATGATATTCAGGCAAAATGAATAAATAATCACTCTATTCTTGGCCCAAGAATAGACCTAGAGAAGGAATTCTATCAATAGCTGTTTAGTCATTAAAATTTATTCAGTGTAGCTAGCTGGAAATGATTGCAATGTGCCTCATTAAGTATTACCATAAATGCATCAGGTTTAGACAAGGTCTTGATGTGTTAATATTGGATTTATGTACACTAATCTACTTGCATGAAAATAAAAGGTTGGTGTTGAGAGAGAATTACTAAAGAGTTCTACGGAAGAACCTGCAGATTGAATGGATGAACTTTTAACAGACGAAGATTTGCCAGAGGTGATATGATTGCAGCATAAAAAAGACTGTGGGTGAGACAAGGTAGCAAGGGGCAGTATTCCACGTGAGAGAGATCACATGTCAATACTGTATTGAAGACACCAATGAGTCTCTTGTAAGAGAGTTAACATTTTACAATATAAAGACTATTCAAAGGGGCAGATTTTTATGTTTTAATGTTACATAATGTCCATCACCATCCAGTGTTATTCCTCCAATCTAAGTAGCGTCAGTATGAATGAATACTGAATGGGCATTCGTTGGTTTAATACTACTCACAAAACTGACTTTATAATATTTGTATTGAAAGGTGCTGGCATAAGGGCAAAGGGGTGTCACCCATGATAAGTAATAATAAAATTATCAATGATGCTATATTTTGCAATTGAAAACCTTTAACTGACATATTAATCCTAAAGATAACATTAACACTTTCGCGCTTTATATTAGAGATAACTCGTCACTGGTTGTTCTTACGATTCCGCATAACTGCCTACTTTTCTCGTCAATCGAAAAAATATTTCTATAAATTCCATTTTTTAACCGAAATGGATGGGGATACTTTTGTTTTGTAGAGAATTTATTTGCAAATTTTTTGGTACCAGAATGAATATTATATCACATAAACTTCTATGAGTAAAAAAAAAAATACACAAAGTATGTTTGGGGGTGTGGTGAGCGTGTGGCAGTGGGTTCCCTTTAGCCGTTGATATATCTAACACGTGGGAAATATTTGTATGTGTTATGTATATGTCTGTGTAGGGAATTTTACTGCGATCACTGTCATACAAATTATAAAATGTTTCAACAAGTATAAACATGACAAACATCAAACGAACGAAAACAATGCGTTCGTTTCTGCCGCGAACGCATACTGAGCGACGTGGTTCTATATTTGGCGCTTCTCTTACACATGCTTTGTACCAATGTTATACAGTTCATCTTATAGAAAATTTTATTGCGAACACATTAGTATAAAAAAGAAATACGTACATAGAAAAGTAGGGTCAGGAAACGTATAAACTTTCCAAGCATGATTTCCCCCCTGTGTTTTCGCCAGTGCGCTCGCGGCTAACTACTCTCCACTTCACACACTCTTGCGGGTGGGCAATTACCTATATTAAACATTCATATGCATATGTCCGTGTAGAGAATTTTATTGCGATTCCAATGATACCAAAATTAACGATGTAGGACAACTGTAGGCTTCGCAACCATTAAGAAAGTGGAAACATTTTGTTGCTGTTTGGCGCTCTCGGCGAGTGATCTGCATAGTTTTTTATTTGGTGTTGATACTCCTAATGCTTTGGCGGCATTTTATAGGTATGCTCTTATAGACAATTTCATTGCGAACACAGTGATACCAAATTTAAATACGTGCGCCTTCAATTATTGTCAGGACAGTCAAAAGAGTGTACACTTTTTCGGTCTTACTGCGTAGGCGCGCGAAGTGCCGAAAGCATCTGGGGTATTGTTTTTTTTTGAGCGCCGAGAGCGCGAAAGTGTTAAAACACACAATAAATACAGGCCTGTATTTAATGGAAAAATTGCTTAACATTTAAGCTGCCAAGGGGTCCTGAAGAGATTTACACCCCTGTGCGCAAGAAAAAAAATTCTAAAAATTTTTTCATCTTCTAAAAAATGTTAATTTGTGTTCCCTGATCATGGGAAAAACTTAAAAAAAATCGTAAGTTACATATTTTGGGCGCAATAGGCCGAGGAAGTCTTGCAAAATGTGGGCATTGACAGAGCAGTCGTCAGAGGTGGTCAGCGTCACCCGAGCTGTCAGGTGGGAGTTGCCACAAAGATACTATTACCTAATTATTTCAATGTCTCCAATTGATTTTTTCTTAGTTTTTTGCAGTAATATTATTCAATAGTGTGTAGTGTTATAGATTTATATAATAAAATGTGTGAATCATCGCTATACTCAAAAGTATGGTGATCATATTAGTGATTCAATTATTACGTTCATAAAACAATAAACAAATAATTTTGCTGTTATTATACTATATACACACATTATATATAAGTATCTACATGTTTTGTTCACCACAACTGTACAATTAAGCTGATATAGTTCAGGCACTAAGAGACATCGCTACACACACACACACACAGTCAGCTGGCGGCTGCCTCCCTCACTCATTCAAGGTCAGGCGCACTAAAATTTCTTCCCCAACAATACTGTTTGTAGTGTTATTACACTATATACACACATTATATATAAGTATCTACATGTTGTATGCACCGTAACTGTACACCTATGTAGGGTGCCCAAAGAGCATAGTGGCCACCCTCTACACAGTTAGACAAGTCATGCAGACGACGCCACCTCTGTCACCCAAATGGCTCCTCCCAACATAATCATTTTGATGTTATTACCCTAATACACACATTATATATAAGTATCTACATTCGTGTTCACCATAGAGAACCACTGAGCTGGTATGGTGAATGCAGACAATAACAGGTGGCCACACAGTCAGTAAACGATGCTATCTCCCTCCTTCCCTCAGCATTACTCCTCCCACACAGTGCTAATTATCGCAACAATGCTAATATTATCACAATCCCAGTCATTTTTATCACAGTCAGGGGTCATCTGTAATACTGTCATCGCTAAATAATAGCAGTTACATATTTATTTTGACATTTTTAGACGATGCTGTGATCACAAGCTGAACAGCAATGCTGTTAGTTCATGCTGCATGCACCGGCCTTGACTGCTCCCACAGTACTGTAGCTCTCACACTGGAGAATATTGTCCACGATTTATTTTAAACATGGCGTCTGTTTACAAGTACTGTACCCTGAGGAAGCTGATGTGAACCCCGTGTAGCCGTGGGCTATTTGAATCGTTCCCGGCATCCAATGACATATATATATACACCATGCGCAGTTTAAGGGTTAAATGTGTGCTCAAATAGTCTTTAAAAGGAACATAATGGATCAAATTATCATTCAGTAAGGACCTTTGGTTTTTGCTTTAGACATGTATTCAGTTTTCCTATCAAAAGACCTGAAACCTATTTAAATTTTTATATGATTCTAGCTAGATAATGCAGTGGGTTCTTCTGATATTGATTCTTCCATCACAGTTGTTCTTGACATGGATGAGGGAACGTTGGCATTTGTGGTCGAGGGCCAGTACCTTGGTGTAGCATTTCGAGGTTTGAAAGGAAAGAAGCTCTACCCGATAGTCTCAGCCGTGTGGGGGCATTGTGAGATCACCATCAGATACATTGGTGGATTAGATCGTAAGTAATGTTCTTATTTTGTACACATTGTCAAAGATTTTATTTATGAAATAAAGTTGAAATGTTCAATTGCATTATTTTAATGGTTTCATGATACTTGTATTTGCATATAACACACTTATATATTTTATCACCTTCCAGCGGAGCCTCTACCACTAATGGATTTATGTCGGCGTGTGATACGGCAGGCAGTTGGTAAACAGCGACTTTCTCGAATTGAAGAACTTAATCTGCCACCTTCAATCACGCAGTACCTTTTGTATCATGACCGTAGGTGATAGTTTGAAATTAGCTGGTCACCCTTGTACCCCTCCAACACCAGCCACCAGGCGTCCCAGCCCCGCACCCCCGCAGGCCCAGGCCAAGGGAGACGCTCTGTAGTAAGTTGAGTGACGGCGGCGCATGGGATAAAGCGTCTGCAGCATCAGTTTGATAATCAAAACATCCTGTTTTTGAGATGTTTTTAATAATAAATTACCTGTGCCATAAGGCATATTTAGTTGACCAGCATAATTTTATGCTGAAATTTATTTCCTTATGGAATTTTAGCAGGTTTTGAATCAGTGTAGGAAATTTAGACGGCCGAGACCACTGGCCTGTGCAAAATACTGCTGGTAGACGCAGTCAAGTGCATATGCGGGACTTTTAGATGTACGTTTGTGTCTGTGTGTGTTAGTGTGGCCACAAGCCATTGTGATAGACTAGGTCAGACTGGTATGTTGCCCCCACAGCCACCCCACTCAGGTACCCAGCCGGGATTAGTGGCAATGGGAAAAGGCAGCACCGGTGTTATGCACGAACATTGTGACAAACGCATAGAAAGTTGCTTGATATAAACCAGAAAAAAAGAACTTGACCAATGTGATGTTTCTATAACAGACTATTTTTGAAAATAAACTGAAAATGTGAAAACGTTTAAGTGAAGTGTGGTGGGCAACGTCCATCTGACCGTCGAGCCGACTGGTGAAGTGTTCATTGCAGGCCAACCTTGCATCTCCTCATCGCCTCTCACATTTGTTCTGGAGACGTAGTAGTGTAAGATCGAGCGAATAGACCCCAGCCCTACAGCGGTGCTGGCTGGTTCAAGGGTGAATAGGGAGGTTAATGTATTGCCCCTAGTCTTTACTCTAAATCTTTGGCTTTGCCATGGATGCTTCACTGTTTTTATGTCTTTTTTACACAGTTATTTAATGTGAAAAAAAAAGAAACTTGTCCATTACCATTTTGTGAGATGGCCATTTGGGGGCTCTGTAGTTTCCATCTTAACCCAAAACCGACTTAGTTGCTGGTTATCTCATTCAGTTCCCTCATTGTATTGTATGCTTAAGTATATTTTTTTTTAAAGTGCCATTTGCAGTAAGACTATGGTAGGACTGTGTCAAGAGCTCAACCAACCAGCATGACATGGCATCAAGATCTACTGTTCTAGCGTGTTCTTATACTGCAACATCTCTCACCTAGTACGCAGCATCTTTGTACAAAAATATTAAATATTAATTACATTCTGATGTATTATTCACCTTTCTCATAATGTAGTAATGTGGCAAGGAAAGCATAAAGACGGTTTTCATGAGTGTCCAGGCTGAAAATAAAAGGTGGAAGACATGCCAGAAATAAGTGTACTGTAATCATTGAAAGATCCTCCCATGATGGGTGCATTTTAATAAAGGTGCTGAGCTTTATTGATTTGTTCAGGCCTAGTAGGCTCTATTGGCAGAAGCGGCAGCAAACCCAAAACTTTGTGGCATTTCCACTGATCCATTTTGTGCTAGACCTGTGTGTGCCTAGTTAACTTTCAACTGAAATTGAGCCTACAAGGTAACCCAGTAGCTCCTTGGGAGGGGGGGGGGAATAGGAATAAAATGGGAGGTTGTCAATTGTCTAGTATGGCTATCTGGCCTAGCTAAGCTTGATCATTTGCTTTGGAGGGTTAAAGTTTTTCCAATCTCTTATTCTCACTCCTGTGTCAAGTGACCATCAAGTGATGAGTGACCTGGCCCATCTGGAAAATCCATTTTCCCCTCACTTGAGGGAAATGGAGGAGCAGGCTGCCAATATCATGGCTTTTGCTGTGTGGTATCCAGCATGACACTGTCCTAATCACCTCTCGGTTCTCTTGCCCACCCTACAGCCAATATCAACCAGTATGACTGCTATTTATTCCATACTAATTTCTTTCGTGATAAAACAACAAACGTGTATATAATTTTAAGGTTCTTAACACCTTATGGGACCAGTACTAGTTATGATAAAAGAAAATGTTATAGAAAATATGATTCATCACAATTTGTCCTTCCATCTCACCTTTACAATGCTTTCCTTACCACAGTTTTCTTGATACAGTGTCATAATTTCCCGGCCATTATTCTCTGCGTGTATTTTGGAATATTTTTTCAATTTTGCTTGGATTGTGGACAGTTTCATTAGTGACAATTTTCCCCTATACAATGAATGACTTTGAAATATAGCTAAGGCAAATTAAAATTCAAGTTAATTTAATTTGTTCACTTGGTGCAGATTTGGTGCACTCCAAAAGCAAGTCTTTGTCTCAGGCACTAGATCCTTTGAGATAAAACCCTGCCACACTCTTGGATGAGTTATAGGTTCTCATATTAAACAGTTGTGAAATATGTTGCCAGAATTAAATATTTGGATGTATTTACACAAAAAACCATCTCTGACGTATGAAGTAAAATTAATAGGAAAATATTTGCACGTCATTATCCAGCTGATTTTTAAAGATACAATTTTTTGGTTCCACCTGTTCACGATTCCAATTGCATTGGCAAACCATCTTGCAGAAATGACCAATTTGCATGAATACAGCCTGGATTTCCAACCCATCAGTAATTCTACATTAAGGAGCATTCAGAGCACAATATGAAAGCTTGGTCTTTCATTTACATGTTCATTTGCTTGAACATGTCCTCGCCTAAGATTGCTATATCTGAACAGTGAGAATCCAAGACACCACGAACGGTCACAACGATTCTCCGTGACCCTGCCCAACACATACTTGGAATCTTTGGCATTATATATACAGTATGTATATTATTGCACTACTACAAGCTTTATTTTTTTACATATAATTACAGCCCTGTACCATTATACTGTAATGGTAAAGAAGCATAGTGCAGAATTTTCGAAAAAAATAAATTACCTCTACATAAGATTGATCACCTTTAATGTCTAGTTACAATCTTCTTCCCCCACTGACTTGATGTGCCCATGCATACTTTTCTGTAGATTTTATTTTTGTCAATACTGCCTTATTGGGCTAAAAAGGCAAAAGAAGTCACTACAAGATGTATCTGGGAAGTTGTGCATCTTCCCTTACAAGTTGTAAGGGAAGTTGTACTGTACAGTCAGAATACCCTACATTGTATAAACACTCAACTTGTTCCTTTCTTTAGTTCACTGACTTTGCATCAGCAAAAAAACTACGCTTTCATTGTGGGATGCTACAGCAAAGACATATCGTACAATTCTTAGCAGTTCTGAGTGGCATTCAATATTCTTTGATTTGTCAGAGTATCTGCTCCATTTTTTGTACTGGCAATTGCTCAGCACATTAGGCATGGCAATTGAGACCTAAGACTCAAAACTGGCAAACTAATTACCCCCCAGCAATGTTAAACTCATGAGCTCGTTAGTGCTACCCCCCCCCCCCCCCACCTTCCCTCTCCAGTGGGGTTAGTGACACTTAATTTAAGGCACTAACTCCTGTGGAGGTCTTCAACCATTTTTGGCGAAGGTCGAGTCTGCGGGCTCCCGGTAGGGTCCTTTGGTTATTGATAGTTCAGCTGGGAGAGCATAAAGAGCTTAGCTCAGTGGAGGCTCTCCACAACTACCTTCCTGCTACTGAGTCTGCTTCAGTGAATGTTTTGAGGGGTCGAGTTTCTCTACTCAAACTATCCCAAATAATGGAAAGCCAGGTCCAAAATTTGCATAGTAAAATAACAGAGAACACTGTGTGAACATACGTGGGCACGACTGTTCAGTATCCTCCCAGCAAATATAAGAAATATTGCCGGATCAAAAATGGACGCCCAACACAAACATATACCAGTAACTGGAGCAAACAAACCAATGTTTTTTTTCATGATTTTCAAATCAATTTAATTTAGCCACTTGTGAAAAAGTTATGTTCAGAAATTGACACTGATGACACACTGAATATACGTCAACTCTCATACTAGGAAAGACTGAGATCCACGGGACTAACAACACTGCAAACAGATTTTTTTACAATGTGCAAATTTTAAAATACCGACATACAGACATTTTTTTTATAGTATCAATAAACCCATGGAACCGCCAACCCGCCGAAGCCGTAAATGCAAAGACATTGCTGCAGCTCAAAATCCAGCTGCGTAAAATCCTCGGGAAAAATAGTGGGGGCTGGAGGGTCCTTTGATAAGTCGCCGGTTTCCAGTCCCCGTCGAGGCCACTAGAGATGGTGGCCCCTCAGGTAAATTCCGGTAAATGTATGGTTTTCATTATGATGCCTGTGGTGAAATGGTTAACACACTCGATTACTTTTGCCCAAGTTTATTTAAACCACACAATTCTAGTTGATATTTGATATATATATGTAGTACGGTTGTTCAACACCCTCCCAGCAAGCATAAGAAATATTGCCGGAAACTAGATTTATTCCTCCAAGGAGTGCCGGACCAACCGGGCTGTCGTGGGTATGTGGCCCTGCGGGCCGCTCCAAGCAACAGCCTGGTGGACCAAACTCTCACAAGTCAAGCCTGGCCTCGGGCCGGGCTTGGAGAGTAGAACAACTCCCAGAGCCCCATCAACCAGGTATCAACCAGTACAATCAAGGAGTATCTCCAAGTATCAGCAATAAGTGGCTGGCCAAGTACAACAAAATAAGTGAAGGCAACAGAGAGAGAGAGGAGCGCGCGTGACATTCTCACAGATCTTTATATAGCCACACTGACGGAAGCCTCAGTAGCTAAGCATGATTGTTGCCAAATTGCTAAACTGGTCCTTACAGGCATGGGGCAGGTAACACTACGGACAGTCATGGCGGCTTCTGAATACAGAGCCGTTTCAAATTTTCATTCAGACTTAACTTGCTTCTCCCTGCATGTAGATAATTTAATATGGAAATTTGTAAAATCTTAAAATTAAAATAAATAAAATCTCTCTCTCCTCTCCTCTCCTCTCCCTCTCCCTCCCTCCTCCCGCTCACTTACGTTACACTTATGGCCGATGCTGACCTGTTCACCTTCAGCTTGGAAACCCCCGGTCAGGTTTTATCGTTCAAAACCTCCGACATAAACGAACCTGCATATACCGCACCTACAGCTATGTTTACAGAGGTGCAGCTACTGCCACTGATCTACACCTCCCGAGCTTCAATGTACCGGTATGCAGTAGTTGTAGTCTGGCGCTTCTTAGCTTCTATCATGGCTATTTTTGAATTCACGAATGAAATGTGTTGTGGGAGGGGGGAAGTGTTGCGTCAGAGCCAGTCCCGACTTTAGAAGGAACTGGCCGGGGAGCTCGTCCAGGCCTTATGACGTTACTACTCTCAGAATCTTCCGTGTTTTGTCTTTACCTGCCTCCTTGAAGGATGTCACACTTGAAAATTGTTGATCAGCCAAAGCGATATAAATCTATTACTATAATCGAACTTGAGAACTTGATTTTGCTAGGCCTCTCCTGCACTCAATAATTTCTTGCATGTCACATCTGGCCGAGCCTTTGCCCTGTCTAGCCAATCCAAACTGTTGCTTGGTAAGCCCTTATCATAGTATTAATTGATGTATTTTGTGACGTGGGAAAGTTGCAGGAATTCATTCATTGTGAAGTGACGTGGCCAGTCATTAGAGTTACTGGCCACGTCTCTAGCGTTGAAGATCACGAAGAGGAACCCATTTACTCAACAATGGAAATCTCGAGGGTGGGGGAAGATTGAAGAATGGGTGATGAAGGTAGTGTGATCACCCACGACACAGAGCTGGGGACGAAGTGAAGACCTGAAGTGTTGTCCTGCGTCCTTCCTTGTAACTTCTTTAGCGACTCAGACGTCCTTCCAGTCCTCTGTCGAGGACTCCAAGCAAGTAAGTCTCATTACCCTGGATATTCAAGTCATAACTTAAAGATCAGATTAATATGTAAGAGTAAACTCTAGATGATATACACAGAATAAAACTTAATTCATATACTGTATAGATATGCGAGAGCTAGTACTCAAGATTACTTTGGTATAAATCTTTTCTTCCTCGACTGAATATCTTAGGACTAAGTTAAATTACAGTCTTAAATACATGTCTACATGAAAATACAACTTTAAAAAGAAACTAGGTCAGGTGTTGTTAAAGCTGACTGTAAAATAAGCCAGTTCTTGCAAGGAAATACTTTGTTGTTCATCTCTTTTTAACGAAATAATGATTAATGTAATACAATTTGTAGATATCATCATATTAATACTGGGATGTTTGACTTCACCACGTGAAGAGGCTCGACACCGCAAATATATGTAGGTACAGTTAGGTCAGTGCACGTATGCACGCATGCACACATTGCAGATAAATTCTTTCCGTGTATTGATCAGACATTCCAAACAAGCAGACCAGGATAGCATTGCCAGGATACAAGGATTACAGAGTATTCAGACAACGAGTCACAATAACGTGGCTGATGATGACCAAACCACACATCAGAAAGTGAAGAGACCATTTCTTCACTTTCATTACACACAATATGTAATGATGATATTATATATTGGTCAAGAGCTAGCTATAAACTCGTCTAAAACCCTCACCACCTCCAGCATATTTATTATTTATTTATTTATATACAAGAAGGTACATTGGGTTAGAGAGAATACAGAGAATACGTATTTACAATCTTGTAAAGCCACTATCTCCAAAATCCACTATATCTCACAGGTCATGCAAGGAATCAAAGAAGGGATGTGATACTATAGGCTACTACCTTCTGCTCTGGCAAACTTTGGATAGATCACAAAAATATTTAGTTCCTAGGTCAAACGAAAACATAACATGAGAACATTATTTAATAATTGAAAATAGTAAACATTACGAATGTATAGCGCTTATAAACGAATAAGGAAGACGTATAATTGAACATGAAAACCAAATAATACTTGTAGAGCAAAATTAAATTGCCTAAAACTAAATACGCAGGATGAACTTAAGTAACAATCTCACCGAGTATAAAGAGGCTATGAAGTTGCCTCTAAATTAATTTGTAGGAGTAGAAAATTAAAGGCGTACATTTGTGTACTACAAGACATAGAATAATGGAACAAATGCATGGAGATAGCAGGCTATGCAGGATACTTGTAATTAAAAACAGGAGTACATTTGTGTACACACAATGGGGGCTGGAGGAATGTCTGGCAAGAGCCGCCCCACCCAATATCTTGCAATATTCGCGAGTGTATAAAGTAGTTACAAAGTTCAAAGTATCTCGTACACAATTTAGCCTGAATGAAGTCATTGATATTAGAACACTAACATATAATACTGGAGACTGTATTCTAGCTCTTATTGACATAGTTTACATTGGAAATATTCACCATTGGCCTGCAGCAACCTGCCATAAGTATCAATATCCCAAGCTAATTCTGGCATTTACAATGTCACGCCGTCTGGTAGATGTCTTGTGCTGTCCGTACTCCTTGGACTCACACGAGAACGACACAAGTACTGTCTCTTAAGCTAAGAAATTTCCATTTACTGTGAGCTATAGCTTCACAGCTTGACGACAACCTTTAGTTTGCAGTATCACTAGGGACATCAATGATATTCCTAATAATCCCTAGTTTCACAATAAATGAGAGGCGGAAGATTTACTTATTTCCCCTAACAATCTCTCCCCCTCCAACAATCTCCCCCTCTCCAACAATCTCCCCCTAACAATCTCTCCCCCTCCAACAATCTCCCCCTCTCCAACAATCCCCCCTAACAATCTCTCCCCCTCCAACAACCCCCCAACAATCCCCCAACAATCAACTGAGGCAGGGGAGAGAAACTGTAAGTGTGGCAGAGAGTCACAGTTGCCACGGGGAGAACATTTAAACGTCTATTATTTTACCATTATCCTTCACTTTCGCTAAAAGATATTATTTTTCCCATATTATTTGCCATACTGTAGTGATAACGGCATAACGACGAGTGGGATAAAGATATAAATGTATTAGTTAGAATGAGGAAGGTGTTGAGCGGCGGCATGTTGTGTGTGAGGTACTGAAGGAGGCGCCGCCGGGGCTCAGTCCGGGCTCCGTCGTGGTCGGGTGCTGTGCTCTCTGTCTCTCTGATTTTCTCCTCATAATTCTCCTCGCACTGATCAATATGGCCGATAGCCGTTTCGCCGAGGTGCAGCAGGCTGCTCCTATTGAGGTGTTCGCCGTGAGTAAGGCCTTCACGGACAGCACTCACCCCAAGAAGGTCAACCTTAGTGTGGGAGGTGAGATAAAGTTGCTTTTGTGTGTGTAATTGCTGACTGCAGTTGTCTGTGCAGGCTATGACGGTGTGTCTTGTCACGTCTATGGTAATGCTGTTGCAAGAATGTCATTTAATATGCCTTTTAATCGTCGGTGTTTTTAAATAACTTGATTGGTGACTGAACAGTTTAAATGGTTCCTAAACTCTCTTTAAGATTCTTTACGGTGGTTATTAATAAATCTAAGATTTCCCGATTCTGAATTAATTGATTCTGAGTAAACATAGTTTTGTAATTGAAATGTTCATTGATCTGCTTTTACAGGGAAAACTAACATATATTCAGGTATATAATTCCTTTTCTTCTAAGTACCCTGGCTCCAAGTATGACCTAAAATCGTGACCTTTTGACATTTACATCTGTGTTGTAATAGGTTTTTGTAACGTGGTTGTTAATTTGCTTAACCGGTGAACTGAAGTTCATGCCAGTTAGTCACTCTGACATGATTCTCTCCTGTAAAGTATGTAGAATCTAAATTTTGAGGCGGGATAAAATTCGGTGAAGTCACACAATGTGCTTTCCATATATAAAATTCCACAATTTTTTAAATTGGTTAGGGTAGGGTGGGTGGGATTAAGTTTACATATAGTGATAACGTAGGCTGTTCCTTGGGTCTTGGACCCTCTCCTGTATGTTAACTGTATCAGTGCCTCGTATTGCACACTTATTTGCTATTTCGTAAGTTTAGTCGATGCAAACTACGTAAAACTTGTATCTTGCTTCATTATTTTATTTTAGCCTGCAGGTTAGGAGACGAAGATTTGGGTCACTGTGTGTAGATTATGGTTTGCTAACAGAAAGGTGTGTGCCTGTAATCAACAGGGCTCTAATAACTGAATATAAAGTGATACAAAGTGCTTCACGTTGACAAATTAAGAATAAGGACCAGAATGGTCCTTATTCTTAATCCTTAATTCTTAATCTTAATTCTTAATCCAATAATCCTTAATTCTTATCCTAGAGTTCAGTGACATGATGCACACAGTAAAGTATGCATAAATTTAATTTTTCCCAAAAGTTTTGGTTAGTACTGTATTAAAGAAAAAAGTGTAACAATGACATCTGGACCTTCTTGACTGCTTCTTGGGGTAGCAGCACAGTATGGTTTTCCCCTAATATTGGGGACAGGAAGTGTTGGGTTTATCGAGGTCATCCAAGGGGCCAGGCTGACAACTGGCCTTTTCTAGGGTATAACCCACAGCTGCTTCCTAACTCTCGGGTAGCTGTTTACTGCTTGGTGAATAGAGGCATCAGATGAAAGGAAACTTCAAGTATGTGGCCTGTCATTAGAACTAGAACCTAGCCATTTTTTGGCTTTGACTCTTCTGCACTAGAAGTAGTCAAAGAACTTAAAATGTAGTGGCAAATGGGGCTTTAAAACATGGGTGTAAACAGACAATTTGGAAGACAGCCAAAAATAATGATGCTTTAGCCTAATTATAAACGTTAAGAATTTAGGGAAAAAATACTAGTATTTTTAATACCAAAATATTAGTAATACTATATCTGGAATAATAAATTTTGTATTGTACATATTCTTTATTGTATTTTAAGAGTACATGTATTTTAATTTTTTACTGGAATGGTTTCTGGCTGCTTATAGGGTCCTTTGTGAAAGGCTTTGCCCTAGTGCCACAATAACCCCTAATAAGGCTACCCATTTAGTGGCAAGTTTCCTAAATCCAATAGGGGCTAAAATGTCGTTATTGGATGGCGACTTAATATGGATTCGGATACTTCTCTCAAAACTGCTCGCTTTACTTGGAGTGATAAATGAGGTTCTAATGCGAGCGCAAATTGTGTAATTGAATGCCCTCTGATGCACTGAGGTTATAATGGAAAAATGACTTCTAATCACTACTTTTTGTACCTAATCAACACTGACAATTTCTCTTATATATAGTATCACTCATTTTTAGATAAGTATAATTATCTGCTCATACTGGGGGAAGGGGGATGTGCAGTATTTAATTATATATTATACACAATGAAATCACAAGATTGTGAAGATTATATAGATATACTGAGGCTGTTCAATTGAATATAGAAGTGGCTGGGCACCATTCCTTTCCTGTCCTATCCCAAATCCTTATCCTCGTATCCATTCCAAGTGCTATACAGTACATTGTAGGTATAATGCCTTGGTGCTTTCTCTTTAACTATCTTGCCAATATTGTATAAATATCATGAAACATTTAAAAGCCTAAACAAAATTTGTATTAAATAAAGTTAACCAGAATAAGTGATTGTGAACTTTACTAATGAATTAAAATTTTTGCAGCCTATCGTACAGATGAAGCGAAGCCGTGGGTGTTGCCGGTAGTTAGGAAGGTGGAAGTAGAACTAGCAGCGGACAATTCTCTTACTCATGAATATTTTCCAATTTTGGGCCTGGATGTCTTCTCCGCTGCTGCGGCAAGAATGCTTCTAGGTGCATCTCATCCAGCTATTACTGAGGGAAGGGTATGTAGTATTAATTTATTAAAAGGTCTCATACTTTTTCTTCAGATAGGGATAGGAGAGGGTGGAGAGGATTTAGACCTTGGAGTCGGGTACTGAAAGTACCGGTAGTTAAATTATTCGGTGCCATATTTTCCCACAGAAAATAGTTCACTAATTATACATCTAGATCCCCAATAACTGAGACAGGCTACCTGTTACAAATAGAATCTATTGTTAATTCAAATGCTTAGTTTTATGAATGTGCACTTGTACCTTTTAGTCATAAAGGGAAAGTGTTGGTCATTTTAAAGTCAAGAAGTGGGAATTTCTACAAAAGTGGATTGCATTTAGAATGCTCAAAGTACTAGTTAAGGGGAAAATGCATTTTAATTGGGATAACGTGCTCATAATTGTCAACTTCAATTTGGTCTTATCTCTAAAGATGCCAGTTCCACTATCGCCCTTAGCCAGTATCTGATTGTCCTGTTTATGCAACGGCACTTTTACATTTTGCAAGGTACAGTACTTTAAAACCTCCCTCATCTTGTCTTAAATGACAAGCACATCCCCGTTTGTCATTTGAAGGGTTAATATATAGTAGTGTTTGGATAATAATCTACACTAAATTAAAGTATGTGCATTGTGGTTCACATTATACAGTACTTGTAATAATACTTGTCAACAGGTGACATGGGTGCAAACCTTGTCTGGAACAGGTGGTCTTCGTGTTGCAGCAGATTTCACGGGCCATGTCCTGAAGTACAACACTGTTTACTATTCTTCACCAACTTGGGGTAAGTTTTATTATTATTTATTATTATTATTATTATTACTACTACTTAGTCGACTGGTAATGTACTGATAATGATTAGTTGAGTGTACATGGATAATGTTTTAAAGTAACACACATGCTAATGTCCATCTTCATTTTAATTTGACTTTTTAATCATTGCTTTAATTCAAGCTATCCGTGGCTAGTGCAAAATGGTTTCGTGCCTTTTTTTTTTACTTGGATTTCTCAGATGTTGGATTATAGTGCAATGGGTAATTGTGAATTAATGTTAGGCAGTGTGCAATATAAATTGTATATATTCCTAGTAAGGAAACAGTTTTCACTGTATTTGGGATATCCATAGTTATTGTGCCATGTAGTCCCCATTGTGGCACATTTTAAACCGTTGTGTCCCAAGTGTGGTGGTATTATTGGTCTTTTTTTTTTTTTTTTTTTTTTTTGCTAATGTCTGGGGCTTGTTTGGAATTAAGGTTGCATGTGGTGTGACGGGGTGTTTGATGTTTCCCTTTGTTGGGTGTATGGGACTCTGGTCACTTTCTAATTGCCGAGTGCCTCCTTTACAAAGCCTTGGGTCCTTTATTAATCGGTTTATTTTGGCACACTAGACATTCTAAGGCACTGGGTGTAGGTACCAAGGAGATACTGAGGGCAAGCCCAGAAATAATGCATTTAATGTAATTAAGCTTCATTTTCATTGTTAAATGTAATGTGGCTCATTAGGCAGCCAAGATCCCCTGGGTTACCAGAGTTGCCACTTGGTGGTGCTCTTGAATATTAGTGTGTAATTTGCTAGCAGACAAGCTACTGCTTCCCACATTTCCTCTTGTTTAAGTGTTTTGATTTGTTTCTGCGAGTACACTTGATTTTAGTACACGGTACGTGGTTTATAACAAAAATGACGAGGCCTGATAGTTTTTTGGACTTGTGTGATAAGAGCCAATGCACAGAAGATGCAGTATACTGAGGCTGCCCAGAAAAGTGCATTTCATTATTTGATGCCGGTTTTCTTTTAAAAACTTGCCTGATTGAGGTGATAGGCATAGTCAACCAGGCAGACTAATTATTGCAGAGCATCCAAATGATTTGGAAATTCATTTCAATGAACCGAATAATCTGAACTTCATACACATTTGAAAAATTAAAATTTTCAGTGCAGTAATTTGCAAGTACTGTATTTAATGTCTTATTCTAGGCAACCACCGTCTAATTTTCCAACAAGCTGGGTTTACGGAGCTCCGTCAGTATCGGTACTGGGATGCAGCTACACGTGGCCTTGATATTGATGGTATGATTGAAGACCTTTCTAAAGCTCCAGAGAACTCGGTTATTATCCTCCATACCTGTGCTCATAACCCAACTGGTGTTGACCCTACACATGTAAGTAGCATACTATCTCTTCACTTTTAAGAAATGTGAATTAAATCAGTTTCATGTTTTGGATAAATACTTTAATTATTGCTAAATTTGACAGTTGGTAGTTCTGAAGATGTCAATTCTGTGCACGTTTGTTTACGCACACATGCTTGCTTGTTTGTTTTAAGAACTTTCCTGGGCAACTGTTAACACTTTCATGATCTAGTCCCTTGATGTTCACATGATGGTAAACAGTTAGTTCCTTTTGGAGAATTCATGGGAAAGAGCATGGGAAAAATATAGAAGGCTTGGTGTATTTTCTTTCTAGACTGCCATAAAGCTTTTGATGCTGCTCACCTGAAATGGCTAGTACTGTAGATTAAATGAAGAAACTGTAGAATCATTAGAAGTTTGATTTTGATGGAAAGGGGGGTGGTAAGGTACTCGGAAAATAAATGGCCATTAAGCAGCAAGTTGGGAGGGGAGGACGTTCAGGGCTAGGTTTATCACCTGCTATTCTGAGAGTGACCTTCCAGGCAAAGTAAGATCTTGCATAACTGTATTTGCAGATGTAAAGGGAATAATTTGAAAGAAGGAATGTTACAGGAAGGCCAAAATAAACTCCTTGGTAAATAAATGGGCTAGTGTAACGTCCTGTTATTGGTGACATGCGTAGTTGAACTGTCGGCAACATGTTTTCAAAAGGAGTCTCTTCAGTGCCTGGAACAATATAAACTGCATTTTTTCTTTTGTATTCATCTGTTTCCCAGACGAGACAAATCCTGGAAGTATTAAAATTGTACCACATTTAGTTTTCAAAATATTTATTACCTTTTAAGATCATACAGTACTATACAGTACTGCATTTATATTGTTAATTTTAATGTGCTTTAGCTTGCTACGGGCTACATTCTTTTTTTTTACTGCTTAACTGTTATATGTACATCTATGAAAGATAAACTATAAATATTAATCCTTATTATTAATTTTTAGATAAAAAAAATAAAAATTTAATGCACATTGTTGGGCTCTACGTAACAGTTATTGGGGTTACATTCATGTGATTTATTAAAAATGTTAAGGATGCAAGATCAACAAAGGGAGGGGGAGTGTAAAGTGATTTTTAATCATATTTCAATCCTGGTTATACAGAAGAGTTAAGGAGGTACTATAAATGTAATCCTTAGTGTAATCATAAATGGTGAACCATGTATTAAAATGGCTTCATATTATCATGCAGGATCAGTGGAAGAAGATAGCAGATGTGGTTGCAGAGAAGAAACTATTCCCCTTGTTTGACTCTGCATACCAGGGCTTTGCTTCAGGAGACCTAGACAACGATGCATGGGCAGTTCGTCATTTTGCTGAGCGTGGTTTTGAGATGATGAGCAGCCAGTCCTTCTCAAAGAACTTTGGCTTGTATAGTGAGTAGTTGTAATAATAAATATATATGAGTATTTTGAGTGATTATAATGTAAAATATGAATAAGATTTGGAGTGCAGAGGTTGTAAAGTGTAAAATGTAAAATAGTCCAGAGATGGTTTAGGACTTTTGAATGAATGAAACTTAAGTTTGTACGCCAGTGAATTTGAGGAGTCATAATTTTCAGTACTATACTGTTACTGTGATCTTTGGGGGTAGTGTTAATTTCTTAATGTGAAGTAATTTCTTTGCAGATGAACGCATTGGCAACCTTGTAGTTGTGCTTAAAGACCCCGCTTATATTACACCCACACGGTCTCAGTTGACACTACTGGTAAGAGGCGCGTACTCAAACCCACCTTGCCATGGTGCCCGTATTGTGTCCAAGGTTCTCAATGACCCTGCACTCTTTGAAGAATGGTGAGCACTCTTCTTAAATTTTACATAAGTTTTTTGAAATTTTTAATTTTTGGGAGCTTAATATCAGTAGAGACTCGTTTGAAGTATGATAGGAGTACAACTTTATCAATGAAGTTGTACTATAATTATATAGTTGGGTATGTGTTGATCTGATACAGCTTTACTATGGAAAGTAAAGTCTAATTTTCTTAGACTAGGCTCTTGATTCTCCTTTAACATTATGATAAAAATAAAGATCACAAATGCTTTATATAGTAATTTACTTCAGTGTTCCCTGCTACAAGTTGATGTAATGCTTATAGGATTGAAATTTTGAACTGTCTCATCTTAAGGGCATAGTCTGGTAATTGCTTACAGATGACCATTCAGGGATCAACTTGGCATACTACCTATCACTCGAGACTAACTGCTTTGTTTGTAAATATCTTAATTACTGTATACAAGTTGCCTTTCAGAAAAGTGTTACTTTTCTTTTTTACAGCAAAATAAGCCCCTTGTGTGCACACACTTCTGTATTTGACACCGTTCATCATACATTATGATACACACATTTTGCTTCATATTTATTCACAGGCATATTCTTTTGTGAACATTTTGGTTTAAAGTTCATAGCTGTCAAAACAAATTGAGGATATAAGAGTAAACATTTTAGGCATGGCTGAGTGGGACCTGGAGATGTCAGAGACGTTTACGGTCAGGTACAGTACTTGCTGACTGGGCGGAACGTCGGTATTAACTTGCAACTTCCGAGTTTTCCTTTTAGATTCTTGTTCTAATAAACCAACCAACCAGCCTGTCTTTTAACATGTTAAAACTTGTCAAACATAAGTTACATTGATTATACAATGCCAATGGACTCATTACTGTGGCAGAAAGATTATTAACCATTTGAATAGGTAATACTAACATGTTTAATATAACTATTTAAGGTACTCTTTTTATTTTTAAAGTTTGAAGAGACTTGAAGGCAATTGAAATATAGAAATTGTTTATGTAAATCTTGACCAAGGATCTTATTTTACAGGAAAGGCTGTATCAAGACAATGAGTGGGCGAATCATAGAAATGCGTAAGGGTCTTCGAGAACGGTTAGAAAAGTTGGGTACGCCAGGCACATGGGACCACATTACTTCCCAAATTGGAATGTTCTCCTTCACAGGACTTAATGGTAAATTATTAATTTTTTGGGTAAATTATTACTGAAAATTGTGCCTATTAATGAATGACACAAGGCAGTGAATAATGTGTTAATTCAAGGGACTTTGGTTTCAAATTAATTTTGAAAGAATAAAAATACAGTAGGTTCATAATCAACATGGGATATGATAAGATAATGAAAGCTGTGGGGTGTCATGGAGAATGAAATTAGAATGAAATTTTTGTGAAACCTATGATTCATAGAATAATTGCAATGGCTAATTTGAATGGTAAAGTGTGTGAAGTGGTAAAAGGCCGAGAGGTATAGTACTTTGATGGGATGAGGTGGTAACAACAGTCTAGAACAAAATTCGGATGTAGTCAATGGATTTGAAGAACATGAGATGGGGAGAAGTGTGAAAGAAAATATTATACTGTATGCCTCTCCGACTAGGCATATTGGCCACATGAACTTTTGAACGTCGGTAGTTCTGATGCATTAAAACGGTAATCTTTGACATTTTTTTTGACGTTCATTTGCACACAGTTTGACATCAAATAGTTATAACCCCCAAAATAACTTGGAAAACATAACGGTAAACATTTTGGACATTGGTGAGCCCAAACCCTGGTTCAGAACCTTTAGTTCAGAACGATTATGGTCTGGTGAGGGGGTTCAATCACGAGGGTGTCATGATTTACCAATTTCCTTATTCCTTGGTGAATCCGATTTCTCTTGTCTTGATGCTGATGGAGAGCAAAAAAAGCAAGTGATATTTAGGACCTTTTACCTATCCTTTGTCACAGATGGTGCCTAATGCGTGTGTTTTGGTACCTTTTGAAAAATATGGATTTGACAAAAAGTATACAACAAAGTTAATCGTGATGGGCATTTTGAGTGATTTGCATGTATGGGGTTGGCAGTGCTATTAAATAATGAATATTTTTATCTTTAACCTTTGAAAAATAAGAGTAATATATTAAGCTCATTTCTTCCCACTGCATGAGTCAAGGGGTAAAGGTTATGCATGTAGGGTATAAATTCAATGAAAGTTTACAGTGCAGATATATAAATTGGTGTACTGTTTATATCTTTTTAGTTATTGGTTAATAGTATTTTAATAATTTATTTTTCTTTGCAGCAAAGCAATCAAAATACTTGGGAGACAAGTACCACATCTTCTTATTATCAAGTGGACGGATTAACATGTGTGGGCTGACAACAGGGAACATAGATTATGTGGCAGAAGCAATTAATGATGCAGTCTGCAATGTATCCTAGATTACAAATTGGAGCAGATAAAGAATAAGTGGTATAAATTTACTGAAGAACCCTGCACATCTACCATGTGTTGTATAGAGCAGTTTAAAAATATGAAAATTCTTAATGTTTTAAAAGTTTATGGGTAAGAGTAGACAAAAATTCATTCATAAAGTTGTATTTTCATTAAAGATAAGCACATGTTTGTACTGTATTGACTTTGCTTTTAAAATTCTAACTGGTCCTAAGTGCCACATTTCAAAACTTCACACCAATAATTAAAATATGCCAATTTCAGCTTGAACATAAGATTTAATTGAAGACGCTGTTATATAATTAAAATTGGTTTCGCTGGTATAGGTGTGATGCACCCCAATATTAGGATATCAGAGCACCTAAAATGCAGACTAGTCAATAACATGCCTGAAATGTGTCCAAACTGCTTGTGAGATGGAGACACGACATTGTTTCGGTTTGTCTTAGACCATTATAAAGTTATGCGAGTGGGAGAGGAAGGAATTGGCCAATTAAGAGAGATAAGGAGCAAGTAAGAGAAGGTAATTTTTAGAAGGTAAGAGTAAGGTGAAAGGTAAGAACAGGAGGAAGATAAAAGTGGGTAGGCTAAAGTCGGGTAATACTTGATAATGGTCCAGGATGGACTGAAACTTCTGTTTCTCCATCTCGTGTGCTGTTTGGTCGTCATATCACCCCACACTTTGCATTGGTCACTGATAAGTTGTGTAACTTGTGTACATTTTATATATATATTTATAATTTTAATCATTATGCAAATATTATATTTAAATAAATAGAACTGATTATGTACACAAACAAAATACAGCAAATTATAATCCCATTAAATGTATTTTGTAAATAACACGATCATTTTCATCACATACAGTTGTATTTATTGAATACTGTTCTTAGTGTTCTAAACAGAAATGTTCTAACTTCCATGCATCACACGGTATGTTAAGACATTTTTTCACTTGTGAATTACAGTATTGTTGCTATGGTACTTTATTAAGCAGGCTTATGTGAAGGATAAAGCCTTATGGAAAGACAAAATTAGACAATGTGAATATACCGGTGCCTATAGTGGCCATTTGATGTGCTATCTTATGGCAATAGTAGTTAAGGGTAGTGCATGTAAATACTGTATTTTAGACAGACATTAAATATGCAAAGAAAAGTATTAAATTTTAATCTACTTTCCTATTTGTGTATGCAGGATCTACATTATATACACACAATCTTCATTCACTGCAAAATTCTCCAGAATTTTGTTCCATTTTCTGATTACTAAATTTGTGGGGGGAAAAGAGCTGAGGAATAGAATGATTATTTGGAGGGTAGGATACCTTGTGTGCTACTCTTTCCGACCTCTCTGATCTCTCTCTTCCCTGAGCCTTCCTCTTTCATGAGTTTTTACGCTGCCCTCTGCTCTGTTCCTCGCTCTACCCTCAGGGGCGTGTGAAAGTGCATTCCCTGGTGGAATGCAGACTGCTGTAAGAGTGCAGCCTGGAAGACACTGTCGCAGTAGGATGCCTGTTTCTTTTGTTTTGGAGAGCAAGTGGTGCCTTTCGTTTGACCATATCCAGAGTTTGTATGATGGCATCCAGTCTACAGAAAAGCAGTGACCACTATTGTGCTCGCTACTTAGCGTGGTCCCTTTTTTAAAACTCTTGCTTATGTTAAACTTTGACCATTACCCCTCCTGTGGGGCCCTGTTCCCTTTCTGTACGGTTGTCTTGCAAGTTTCTCACTCGGTTCGTGTTGCCAGTGTTTCTCATCGTGTCATTCAGTCCTTGCCCTCATGGAGGGTCCCTCTTCCTAGGTTTTGTAGAACCTTAGCCTTAGTCATGCAGGTCATTACCCCTCCTACAGTTCTGAAACGCCTTTTCCTTGCTCACATTTCTTCACACTCCAGCTCCATCTCCGTCGTCACAGATGGGTCTAGGTCTGCTGACAGTGTAGGCTACTCGGGTGCAGTCAGGAAACGCAGCAATGTGTGTGTCGCCTTCCTCCAGAGACTAGCACCTTCACGGCAGAACTTTATGCAATTTTGTTTGCTCTTCGTCAACGGCTTTCTCAATGTAATTCTTCCTGTGTTGTTGTAGTTGACTCGAGCAGTGCTCTCATGGCTCTATGGTCATTTAGTTCTGTGGTCATCGAACGTCAATATCTCCAGCAGATTATATCTGCTGGAGATGATATAAGCAAAATCTCAGCTTATCTCCAGCCGAGTTTTGCTAGGTTTCCTGCCATGTTGGTAGTTTCCTTAAATGAGTGTGCGGACACTGCTGCTAAGGAAGCTGTCCGCACCTGTCCCGTCTTCCGTAAAGGTTTTTCTTATTCAGACTTCTATCCAGTTATTCATTCCTCAATCCTTGCTCATTGGCAGGGTCATTGGTCTTCTGTTACTCTTAACAAGCTGCGTGCTGTTAAGTGTTGTCTCCCCATGGCCTTTCTCTTACCATCGTAACAGACGGTGGGAAACGGCTCTAGCAAGGTTACGTATTGGCCAGACCCACTTAGCTCGCAGGCACTTAATGGAGCGCTGCCCTCCTCCTTGTCTAAATTGCATTGTCCCTCTTACGGTCGTGCATATCCTTGTTCAATATCCTGACTTCCAGAATGTGCATGGGTCTTGCTTCCCAACTGTCCCTCGTGGTCACCCATCCCTCGATAGTATACTTGGTGAATCGGATGCTTCTGATGATATTTGCGTTATACACTTTTGTATAAGTGTATATCGCAAGTATGAACTTGCACTCGTATTGGCATCCTTAGTAATAAGCGTCTTCTGAATATCCTGCACTTTTAATGGTGCCAAGTCACCCTGGCTTGGTGCCTTGATTTGATAACTACTTAGTATGGAGTGTCTGGAATAGCATAATAGTGTTACTAGAGCACCCATAATGAGATCTCAGTGTGCCAACGTGTGAAAGTATTCAGCAGTGACCGACACTTGGTGGACAGACAGGAAAGACGGCAACCACTACATGGGAACCTGCAGTACCTGGGCAAGATTTCTACCAACCTCGTAACGACAGCAATATATTACTACACTAGTTTGTGCTGAGCTGGAAGGTTGGCTGATGGGTTGCTCTGTCTAGGTCATCTGGAGTATGGAGAGTTAACATAACTTTTAAAACTCTAAAAATGTCACCACATTCAAGATAGGCAGTTTGGTAACACTGAAGGGCCTGCTAGTCAGCATCTGTACTCCAACTTGCACCCAAGTACACCTGCACCGAACTTGCACCCAAGTGCATCTGCATCAAATTTGCACTAAAGTACACCGAACTTGGACTTAAGTGCACCTGCACCGAACTTGCACCCGTTTAAGTGCACCTGCACCGAACTTGCACCCGTTTAAGTGCACCTGCACCGAACTTGCACCCATTTAAGTACACCTGCACCGAACTTGCACCCAAGTGCACCTGCATCAAATTTGCACTAAAGTACACCAAACTTGGACTTAAGTGCACCTGCACCGAACTTGCACCCGTTTAAGTGCACCTGCACCGAACTTGCACCCATTTAAGTACACCTGCACTGAACTTGCACCCAAGTGCACCTGCATCAAATTTGCACTAAAGTACACCAAACTTGGACTTAAGTGCACCTGCACCGAACTTGCACCCGTTTAAGTGCACCTGCACCGAACTTGCACCCGTTTAAGTACACCTGCACCGAACTTGCACCCAAGTGCACCTGCATCAAATTTGCACTAAAGTACACCAAACTTGGACTTAAGTGCACCTGCACCGAACTTGCACCCGTTTAAGTGCACCTGCACCGAACTTGCACCCGTTTAAGTGCACCTGCACCGAACTTGCACCCATTTAAGTACACCTGCACCGAACTTGCACCCAAGTGCACCTGCATCAAATTTGCACTAAAGTACACCAAACTTGGACTTAAGTGCACCTGCACCGAACTTGCACCCGTTTAAGTGCACCTGCACCGAACTTGCACCCATTTAAGTACACCTGCACCGAACTTGCACCCAAGTGCACCTGCATCAAATTTGCACTAAAGTACACCAAACTTGGACTTAAGTGCACCTGCACTGAACTTGCACCCAAGTACACTTGCACTTGAGTGAAGTGAAACCACCACCACCTCCTCTCACCTGATGGTGGTGGTAGGAGGGGAAGAAGGATTTTGGAGTGCCACAACAAAATTTTTGTTTTTAATATTTGCCACCTGCTTTTGTATTGGGAACGAAATATAAACAAAAAACTCAACTCAGTTTAATAATGTATTTGTTTCAATCTGTACAAACATTCATCTTTTATGAATTCATTCGACTTTTGAATATCTTCAATCTTGCACATTGTCAATCATTTCTTGAAGAGTCTCCTTCTTTCCTTCCTCTAGCAGCTGACAAATGAAGGAATGGAGGGTGTCACTTCCATCAAGGAAGGCAGGCAGATTATGAACAGATACTCCTATCCTGTTGAAATGAAGAATGAAATAGTTACTCACTTTCCCTCTACTTAGCCATTTTTCTATACTGAAAAAATGCATTGTTTATACAAGAAACAATTGGAAGAATTATTTTCCCTAATGTAAACTTCAAATGAGAAAGTAAACTTTACCGGTGATCAGTAACTCTGTCCTGAGGGTAATTATACGTTCGGATTTTTTCTGAACGCGCTCTGGTCCCAACCTGTTAAATAATAAAAACTAAATTAAATATACTTTCATAGGAAACAATCTGTAGCAGCAAATTATACATAAATTATAAAATTATTAATTTGTTTCATTGAACACTCAGGGGGAAAGAAAATGTAAGCAAAAAAGATGTGTAAAATTTTGTAGAATAGATACTGTAAGTTTAGGAAAAATAATAGTAGGTAATATTCAGAAAACAGTTAGGTTTTTTTTCTGGGAAGTGAGCAAGTGGAGCAGGAGACTAGCTGAAAATACTGTACAGTATATGAGAATATTGAAGACAAACCATGTGAAAACGTTAATGTGGGAAGAGATTAAAGGTTGGTGGCGAGAATACTTTTGAAAGTCTGATGGATGTCACTGCTGATGAGAACATGATAAGTTTTGCTGGTGTGCAGGATACAATACCAGTTGATATATCTTGAAGAGTTAAGTTTTACAGTGAAGCACAAATGTGGGAAAAGAGGAATGGAAATACAGGTAATTGAAGAAAATAGTTGCAATTGTACCATGGAATGTGAATGACAGACTATTGATTTTGATACTTTGCAAAATATTTCATTCATACATGCCCCCTACTCTCAATACCTATTCATTTTACAGATTGCTATCCAATAATACATTCTTATTTATACAGGAGACTCAAATGGGTAGCTATATACAACAAATTCTGCACCCCTTAAGTAGGATAGTCATTTGCATCATTAATGACAATTTTCCAGAACCTGTTTGAATACTAGCCAAACTAGGTTTACTTGTGGTCATTTGAAGGAAATAAAACCTTGCCCCTTATTATCAAAACTGTCTTGTTCTACTCAGTTACACACTTATTCATTAATGCTCAAACTTTCAAGATTAATACTGGTAAATTCATACCACCTTTGATTCTCATGAACCCAAAGTAACAGTGGGACACAAATGTGTGATCAAAGTTTGTTTGATAAGGATGCACACCTACCTCATGGTAGGTATTTTGATGCAAGAGGATTCATCTTGGGAAAGTAATGAAGAAAGAGGAGCATTTACATGCAGTTGGAAGGAAAAAAAACCCATTCCAGGCAAAGAAATAAAACCTCTCCTAACTGCTGTAATGTGCGTTAGTAACTTAATCTTAATCACTTAATCACAATCTTAATCACTTCATGATTAAGGCTCAAATACCTGGAGCTTCCTCTTGGAATTGTATTGATTAACATTACGGTCGAGCTGCTGCTGAAAGAGTAGGAATCTCAGCTTCTTCAAACAGTTGTTTCTATTTTGGTGCTGGGATCGTTCCGTTTGGCTCTCCACAGTTACTCCTAAAACATATCACAAAGGATTTATGCAAATTATGCCTGTAAACATATTAGCACTCAAATCAGAATTCAATTAAGATAAGGTAAAGATTTTGTAAAAATTATACAAATGTCTTTGTATAGGTCCTTTTGTATAATATATAAAGTGCCTTATAAAAGTAAACTACAAATACCTACATATTTGAACCTCACAATAATAATTTTCAAATTATACAAGAAACAGAGCTTATCTAATGTTCAATCCTTAACTCAGCTCCCAGAATGTTTTAAGATTAATTACTGTCTTGCTTCCAATATATCCAATCAGTACATATCAACTAGATCACAGTACCCTGTATGTTACTGTTCTGAAATATGGGTACACTGTACTTAACACAGGTAATGATAGGATCTAGATCAACAGGAAAACTAAAGGATGGGTTTTGAATGCCTAACCTTACATTTAATGGTTCAGCATTGGAGCCATTTGGCATGGTTCCAAAGTGTGCTCAGAGAAATTAGTCAAATTACTGTTCCTTATAAACTTTTTTTTTGGGGCCTCTGTTCACCCAGTAGTAATTGCACACCTGGATCTAAGATTGTCAGAATGTGTTCTATAGAAAATATGACACTGACAAACCTAACTGGTTCCAGTACAAATATTAAAACTATAACTTATCAGTAGAGTCATAAAATATAGGCTAAATAGTACATGGATCAAGCGACAAGATCAGCTGACTGCAAGACACTGTCACAGCCATCTTACTTTGCGGTTACCTTGTATTGATTCAAGGGGGAGATCTGTCCCCATGGCCCGGTCTCCGATCAGGCTGTTGGACTGACCAACAGTCCTATAACTGATTAGCTAGACTTAAGTTTAGTGGAGATCTCAATCATATGAAATGTAGAGTATAAGGAGAGAGACTGGACCACTGACGTCTATCTTAGAATGCACAAATATCGAGCAACTTGGAAATATGTGCAGAAAAACCCTGCACCAATTATTGTTAATGACAAAATGGCTGATATCAGTGACACAGTACCAACAATTTGCATCAATCACCATCAAGTACATCAATTGCCATTAATTGAAATTGAATATGCTTTATTCATAAATATATTTGTGTATATTCATTTACCCAAGAGAAAAAGTTATAATAATAACATAAAATATAATTTAACTTGAAAACTAGTTGTTAAAATCATTATCCAATGTACTGAATTCTGCAATCTTTTTCACAACTACTCACAGGATGGACATGTGGTGTAAAAACAGCCAGCCACTAGTGTTGGCTTTTTTACTAAAAAGCCAGCACCAGCAACTGGCTTTTTACTTTTGGCTGCTAATATTCATTTGGTGGCTTTAATTTTGCTAGTGACCAAACTGTTCAAATGTGGCTTTGAAGAATGCCAAGAAATAATTATCTAAGACTGCTGTTTATCCTTAAACAAATTCAAAACATGTGGATTATACAAGCACAAAGTTGTTTTTCCATTCCTTTAAGTAAACCCCAAATAACAAGCAATTAATAAGAAACATGATAAAAAATCAGAAAACAGTGAACAAGGCACAAAATGAAGGAAGATCAAGCATAGAAATATTACCTGTGGGTAAATGAGTAATTCTTACAGCACTGTCGGTGGTATTGACGTGCTGACCACCAGCACCACTTGCTCGTTTAGTCTCAATTTTTAGGTCCTTGTCAAATATTTGCACATCAATCTGCAAATAAGAAAACTAACTTTCAAGATTGGATGACTTTTTTCCAAATCATCTTATCTGTTGAAGCATATCATTTTCTACTGTAATAGTAACATATTAAAATTAAACCAATTTACCAACAATTGAACTTGGCTGTAAATAAAACGAATACAGCATAGAAGGTAAAGATCACATTACTCTGTGGAAAACTTTTAAATGACCTTAAAGGTGCAATATTGTACTGTAATAATACAGGAAACTGATGCAAGCAAATATGGGCTTCAACATGCAAAGGAGAGCTTACTTCTGATGGGTGAGGCATCACAGCCACCGAGGCGGTGGAGGTGTGGATACGACCTGCCTTCTCGGTCTTCGGAACCCTCTGAACGCGGTGAATGCCGCCTTCATATTTTAGCAGCTGATAAACTGCCTCCCCCTTAATGTTTGCTACACCATGCCGTAGGCCACCTGTTATGGAAATGGTGTAAATTTGCAAATACAAAATGTAATTTATATTCTTAATACTGTATATTCATATACTGTACAGGTATACTGTACATAAATATTTTCTTAATTTGAAACTTTACTTTGATATTTTAATATATCTATGTTTGTATATAAACTATTTTCCCCAACAATCTCCTGCATATTATCTAAAATGCAAGTGTTTTATTCATAAATACTGTACAGTATTGTACTGATAAAAAATACCTATGACCTAAAGAATGCAGTATATCAAAATGCTTTGTTATGTATATATATATCAGCCTGTTCTCAAGCTGCTGTATAAATATAAGGAAAGCTATTCAAATACGTTACAATTTCTGGAATAAAACCTTTGGCAATTTTGAAAATTGGATGAACTCGTACCCGAACTTTAACCTAGATTAGGTTAGATGGGCTGATTTTAAGCTAATACTGTACTGTACAGGTATATCTTATTCTGTGGGACGTGCATAGCCATGATACCTGTTCATGACTTCAGCCGAGGCCAATTTTTGCCACCATTTAGGAGACTGTGGAGCAGTGGGCAACACACGTAACTTCAGATGGTCCATCAGTTGCAGATATCCCAGCAAAGTTGCTGCATTGTTTAGTAATACACAGGATACTGTTTGTAGATTACACCATGTGAGACTGAGCTGATGTATGCTGCCCACTTCACATTAATTCATAAAATGTTTGCATCAATTCTATTCAATCCTTGCCCTGCCACTAACTCATTTTATACCCAGTAGTATTGTACTTGTGTTAATATTATATTAATTCTTCTCTACTTACATTCAAACTTGGTAAAGCCTACTTATTTAGAACTGGATGCTTTATTGTTGTACTCCTTAATATTTGAGGCAACTTTAAGGATTAGCTTGGCTTAAGCAGTACTATAAATAGTTGATAAGAATAAAGTAAAAGTTAGGCTTTTTATGCATATAGAATACTGACAAAGAATATATATACAGTACAAGCATTTTCTGCTCAAGATTCTAAATAAAGTGAAGTCACTAACAAAACCCAGTGAAACAGAAATTTGACGGCAACAGCATCAGTACAATATGGTTGTTGTCATTCTTCAACTCATTCCTATGGTTTAAGTGTCCGCAATAATGAGTTATTGCTACCATTCGGGTCTTTGCAGATAGATGTAAAAAAAAAATGACATGTTTATAATCAAAAATGCATTTTTTTTATTTGCAATTTGTGTACTGTATTTGCATTTGGTGTATCAATTTTGATACACCAAATGTGTATCAAAATATTAACAAGTTTGTGATTAAGACTGGAAGGCTGAATGCAGACAGAGGTGGTCCGGTACCAACTGATCCCACCACTACAAAAAATGTCAATCAAAATGCAGATGCTTACCAATATCAGTTGTCTCAAACACAGTAACCTGGCTCTCCCAGCCCATAAAGTCAGCATACGCTAGATACATGTTAAATATCTCTTGGCAAAAGAGCATTGCCTCTTGACCTCCAACTCCTGCGCTCACCTCAATAATTACTTCAGAATTTCCGGTCTTTTCATCAGGAACTAACGAGCAGAATAACTAAAAAAAATAAAGACTACATCAGATTAAATGACCGAGCACAAAGAAAATGGACAAAATCAGATACCTTACATGAATATACTGGTACTATACTGTAATAAAAAAAAAAATTTGAGAGGCTGATGAATAAAACTGTACAGGTATTTACACATCAATGTAGAAAAATTGACTAAAAATGGAAGTCACTTGACTTCCAGCCATTAGTAGCAGGTACTGCTTCATAGAGCAACTGGTACACAAAGGTGAAATTTATTATGTAATAAGTGTCAAATGTTGTACAGTGGAATCTCGAGTGACGAGTGCCTCCATATACAGTAATTACCTCTTAGTGCCCACACCTGACCCACTCAATATACAGTACTTCATAACATACACACCAAGCACAGAACAAAGGGGCAACTGAATGACACAGTGAGAGGGGGACATTTTATGTAGGTTAAAAGAAGAAGAAGAATCACACATTTGCAGAAGAAATTCTGCAAATATGTGATTCACTTTCCTAAAACCATGTGCACAAAATTCCAAATATGACATTATCAGAAAGAAAGCTTTGAATGTAGCAAACTAGATTTCTGTGCATAAACCTGAAGCTGGCCTCTATAATGAGGTCTGATCTTTGTTAAAATAGATGGAACACCCTAACTCACAAATTGAACATGAAAGTCCAGAAAATTCCCAAACACCAAATGTCAATAAACATCCTTGCTAATGAGAACCTAAAATCCTTCATCAAGAGTTGAGGGACATGTAAGGAATCTAAACAGGTCTAGAACAGAGACCATTAGCACAAGGTCTAGAACTGAGACTATCAGCACAAAGAACTGCACACAATCTACAATATAACCAAAGGCATTGTAAGCAGACCATGAGGTCAAGGTAGACCTACAGCATATTATACTGCCTGAAGCAGAAATTAGAATGTTTTTAGTAGATCTGTCACCCTAGCCAAGCACCATGACACAATATTCGGTCTGATAAGACTTGTAACAGGGCACCAAGTCTATCACACCTGCCTACAGAATGAGGAAGCAGCCTGGTACTAAGGGGGTAACTTTTCTGTATCAGAAGCCTAACTCTGATTGGAACTAAAATATAAATAAAGACAAAAGGTCACTCAATTTTGCCAAGGTATGACCAGTTGGTTACACAGAACAGACCATGCCTACACACAAAGGGAAATTTTGGTTGAACACACCTGGTGCACAGCAAATACCTATGTCCTTATATGATGCTATGGAGGATTGTGAATGAAATGGGAAAAAATTTAGCTAATCCACTGCTTCATGCCCTGTAAACATTAACAATCTAAACACTGATGGTAAACTGAGCCTTAAGCATAGGATTAAAAAATCTAGAACAGTGGAAGCATATACAACTTAGATGCCTCTCAATGTCTGCCTGCTGACTGATATAGGACAGTCAGGAAGACTGTTACATGGGTCAGGTAAGTGGAGCAAGAGGTGTTGCAGTTGCCGGTAGCAATCTTTGTGGGTATACTAAAAATTTGAAGTTAGCAGGAGCCCTTCCTGGGTTGTCAATTGTGAGGCAATGAGAATTCTGAAGGGCTTTTGAGCCTTCATGAATGGACCACTGGCTTTAATTCCGGGTATGCTGAAATGTTCATAAATTACCTAGCACCATTATTACTCTGCTGTGTCTATCTTAAACCTTTACTTTGAAGCTGGTGCCAGAATGTAATCCTGCCTAACTGCATAATACTGTACTGTCTTATAGAGAGAAAGCCTTATCTTAGGGAAAAGCAGAATTACTCAGTATAGCTCTGAAAATGCATTTCTGTAAATTTAAGCATAAATTTCTATTAAATTATTTACCTTCTCTTCCAGAGTTTGCAATCTAGCCTGAGCTTCTTTTATGTCCAGAAGAGCCATATCTAGCATCTCCTGATCTTGCTTGGAATCATCTGCCAAGGACTCTAACTCCTTGATATCTGACTGTATTTTCTCTACCTGAAAAAGTGGCATTTTTATCTTAAGTAAACTACTTCATTAACAGGGAATGTTCACAAATTAAATAGCCCAGTTGGCTCTGGTTACATAGAAGCACTATGAAAGCAAGGAAAATGGGTCATCTTTCTAACATTTCAGTTCTTTTATGATTTATTAATAAAATATAAATAAAAATAAAAACATTAACAACTTGCCTCCTCCAGTAACTGCATAATTGGCTGTAGTGTTCTCACTGTCTTCAAGTTGGTCTCGTCCACATAATCCAAAGCATTCTTATACTGGTTTTTGAGCAAAAGAAGGTAGTCCTTAACTTTAATGCTTGAAAGTGACAAGTCATCAGAAGCACTTGTTGAATAAGGATGATAAATACTAATCCCATAAGCTCTTCTAATACATCTACTGGATTTATATAAATAACTCATCCTTAATATATTGTTATTTAATGAAGTTAAACAAATACTAGGAATTAAAGTTTTGTGCTCACACATGTTCTGTAATACCGGTTCTCTCAAATTAACTAGTTTTTTGTTCGTCTGGCGCACCCAAGACAAAAGTCTTAGATGTCTCAGTCTTTCTATTCCCCCGAGACAACGCCACAATGCACATCCCATCATCTTGACACTGCACGAACAACAGTCTAGTGGCGATACATTCAGTGTTGGGCAACCATGCAGGTGTTGAGGTGGCAGGTGTTAATCTTTATCTGCAAAAAAAGACAAAATGAAATATAAATGACGAGAAAGACTTGAGGGTGTGTATGAAATGTTAACCCCTGACAACATGATTGTCTAAGCCATTAGTACAAGCAAGAGTCAGTACCAGCACTTAACTGGCGTATCACTTAATAGTAACATAGTACACATACATCTCTGTATGACTAACCATCCTGTGTGATGGGGATTTTATAGCATCACGTAGTTAGCTTTTTTGACACACTGTACTCCACTTCATATAGTCTAGGGTAGCTGCACAAATGCAGATGTACCTCATGTATTAATAATAATAAAAAAATACACATACATACATTATTGTATTGTTATATTGTAGCACAACACTTTAACTCTGAACGTTGTTGTTGTTGTGTTGATTTAGGGGCGACGACGATCGTGGGATCGGATGCGCCCCGGCTGCCCGATACCGGGAAATAGCGAAGGGATGGGGCCCCTATAGTCTCTTCAGGCCATAGACCCTACAATCTCCTCAGGCGACAAATTTTACAGTCTCTTCAGGCCGCGGACATGACGGATGAAGCGGAAGGTATGGCGAAGGATGTCATGACGGACGTCTTCGTCTCTCGCACCTGCCCCGTCAAGGAGAACGGGAACTGTGAGGCGGGGAATATTCAGCCTACGAACGGAACTCTGTAGTCTGACGCGAGCGCTATGAAATCGAGGGCAGTGAATAACTCTGAACGTTCCCAACCTTCCTCGCGACAACTGCCTCCGAATCCCACACTTGGACACCGGCTACGATTCGGTGCTTAAAAATGTCTTCTTTTCACATTTATCTTTCATGTAAAGTTATACGTGGATCTGAATAGATGATGATAATAAAATGTGTCTTGTTTACTTGTAAGACTAGATACAGCTGTTCATGCATTATTTCACGAACAATATAAACAAGCCATTGACCACAGATAGGAACTAATTGTTTTCATCCAAGTATTACCTGGATGTAAACGCCCAAGACCATCTGATAGAGAAATTTGTGGATATATATATATATGAAATATACATATAATGTATATATATATATATATATATATATATATATATATATATATATATATATATATATATATATATATATATATATATATATATATATATATATATATATATATATATATATATATATATATATATATATATATATATATATATATAAACAAATTGGTACATATACTAAAATCGTTATTTCTACAGGGGCCTCTCAATGGTAGCCTGAATAGCGCACAGGACTCGTAATTCTGTGGCCCGGGTTCGATTCCCGCACCAGGCAGAAATAAATGATGCGCAAAGTTTCTTTCACCCTGAATGCCCCTGTTACCTAGCAGTAAATAGGTACCTGGGAGTTAGTCAGCTGTCACGGGCTACTTCCTGGGAAGTGTGTGTGTGTGCGGTGTGAAAAAAAGTAATTAGTAAACAGTTGATTGACAGTTGAGAGGCGGGCCGAAAGAGCAAAGCTCAACCCCTGCAAACATAACTAGGTGAATACAACTAGGTGAATACTAAAATCGTGGTCTACTACATCGTTTTCTATAATGGTCGCGTTTGAGATACATAGAAAATTGAAGAGTTCACTACAAGGGGGAAGCATAATTAAATTGCCGAAACTCTCCTCCCACAGAGCTGCCTAGTATGGCTCACCTAGCTGTGCTTTGGGGGGTTGAGCTTTGGGTCTTTAGTCTCTCAACTACTGGACGACAGGTTCCTGAGCCAATTGGGCTCTATCTATATTTGAAACTGTGCACAGAGTCTACTTCCACCACATTACTCCCTAGTGCATGCCATTTGTTAACTACCTTGACACTGAAAACGAATCTTTCTAACATCTATGTGGCTCATTTGAATACTAAGTTTCCACCTGTGTCCCCTTGTTCGTGTTCCGCTCATGCTAAATAGTGTCTTTGTCTACTTTCTTCTTTGGGAATTTTGTAGGTGGTGATCATGTATCTCCTAACTTTTCTGTCTTTCAGGGATGTGAGGTTTATTTCCTGTAGCCTTTCCTCATAACTCATACCTCTCAGCTCTGTGACTAGTCTGGTGGCATACCTCTGAATCTTCTCTAACTTTGCCTTGTGTTTAACTAGGTATGGACTACAGGCTGGAGCTGCATACTCCAGGATTGGTCTGACATATGTGGTGTACAAGGTCCTGAATGATACCTTACACAAGTTTCTAAAGATAGTTCTTATGTTGGTCAATCAGCATACGTCACTGATGATATCCTTTTGATGTCGGCTTCTGGGAACAGCTTTGGTGTGATATTAACCCCCCAGATCTTTTTCTACTTGACTCTTGAAGGATTTCACCTCCCAGATGGTACCTTGTGTCCGACCTCCTCCTTCCTGCACCTAATCTCATTACTTTACACTTACTTGAGTTAAACTTTAGTAGCCATTTTCTAGACCATCCTCTTACTTTGTCCAGGTCGTCTTGTAGTCTTTTTTTATATCTTCCCGTCATTTGATTCTTCTCATAATTTTTACATCAACAAACATTGAGCGGAATGAGTGTATACCCTCTGGAAGATCATTTACATATATCAGAAACAGGATAGGTCCACGTACAGTGCTGTGGGACTCCTCTGGTGACATCTCGCCACTCTGAGGTCTTCCCACTCATAGTAACTTGCCGTTTTCCGTTGCTTAGATACTCTCCTATCCACTGTAGCACCTTACCTGTTATTTCTGCCTGTTTCTCCAACTTTTGTAACAGCCTCTTATGGGGGTTCTTTGTCAAAGGCTTTCTGACAGTAAGAAAATGCAGTCTGCCTACCCTTCTCTTTCTTGCATAATTTTTGTCACCTGGTCAAAGTATTCTATTAAACCAGTTGGACATGATTTGCCATCTCTCACAAGGATACAAACAAGACAGGTAATGCTGCATGTAACATGAAACTAATTAAGTCCTAGGTATCCCTAGCTCTCCCTTATCAAAACCACACTTCAGTACTGTACTTCAAAAAACAAACTAGGCAGATAGAAGAGCAAACACAAACTAAAAAGATTGAAACCACTAATAATTACCTAAGTGTAGTTACAGGATGAGAGCTACGCTTGTGGTGTCCCGTCTCCCCAGCACTCTTTGTCATATAACGCTTTTAAATTACTAACGGTTTTGGCCTCCACCACCTTCTCACCTAACTTGTTCTAACCGTCTACCTCTGTTTACAAAAGTTTATTTTCTTATATTCCTCTGGCAGTTTTGTTTTGTTAGTTTAAATCTATGACCTCTTGTTCTTGAAGTTCCGGGTCTCAGGAATTCTTCGCTATCAATTTTATTGATTCCTGTTATTATTTTGTACGTAGTGATCATATCGCCTCTTTTTCTTCTATCTTCTAGTTTTTGCATATATAATGCCTCTAACCTCGCCTCGTAGCTCTTGTCCTTCAGTTCTGGGAGCCACTTAGTTGCATGTCATTGCACCTTTTCCAGTTTGTTGATGTACTTCTTAAGATATGGGCACCACACAACCGCTGCACATTCCAGCTTTGGTCTAACAAAAGTCGTGAACAATTTCTTTAGTATTTCTCCATGTATTTAAAAGTAATTCTGAAGTTAGAAAGTATAGCATAGGCTCCTCACACAATATTCTGACAGTTTTCTAAATAGAACCACCCCTAGATCCCTTTCTGTCAGAATTCTTTTAAGATTTCTCACATAATTTATAGGTTGTGTGGGGTCTATGTTCTCCAATTCCACATTCCATAACATGGCATTTATTCACATTAATTCCATTTGCCAAGTGTTGTTCCATATACTTAATTTGTCCAGGTCTTCTTGAAGGGCATGACAATCATCTAGGTTTCTCATCTTCCCTATTATCTTAGCATCATCAGCAAACATGTTCATATAATTCTGTATTCCATCTGGTAGATCGTTTATGTAGACAATGAACATTACCGGTGTAAGAACTGAACCCTGTGGTACTCCACTCAAGACATTCCTCCAATCCGATACATTGCCTCTGATTACGGCCCCTCATTTTTTTGCCAATTAGGAAATTTTTCATCCATGTTAGAGGCTTTACTTGTCACTCCTCCAATATGTTCCAGTTTCCAGAACAACCTCTTATGTGGAACTTTGTTGAAAGCCTTTTTTTAGGTCCAGATAGATGCAGTCAACCTAATCATCACATTCCTGTAAAATCTCTGTGGCTCTATCATAGAAGTTGAATAAGTTCATTACACAGGATTTTCCAGATCGAAAACCATATTGTCTGTCTGATATTATATAGTTTTTCTCCAGGTGTTCTACCCATTTAGTTTTAATTATTTTTTCCAATATTTTGACTATTACACTTGTCAATGATACAGGTCTATCATAGTATATCATAGATACTAGTATTTAGAGTTATATGCTTAGAACAATTTCCTAGACTCTTCTAATCACTATCCTGTCATACACTTGTCATTTCATTTACTGTACTAAACTAATGCCTAATGCCTGTAATTCTTACATTGTAATTCTACATTCTCCTTTATTTCAATAGTGGCACAATGGCCTTTCCAATCTTCTGGTGCATTACCAGTACGTATTTCAAGCTACTCAAATTCTCCACTCTCTCTATTCCATTTTCTCCACGACATTTAATTATTTCTACATTTACCTCATCAATGCCTGCAGCATTCGTACACTTGTTTCTTCACTGATGTACTCACCTCTTCTAAAATACATCAGCTCTAATATGATCCAGCACTTTTTCTCACATCATCAAATCTAATTATATTCACATTAGTAACTTTTTATATTTTCCACATGTAAGACTTTAACATTCCCTTATGTATATAATTAACATTCACATTTACTTGGCCAGCATTCATATTCACGGGACACCACAAGCGTTGCTCTCATCCTGTAACTACACTTAAGTAATTACCAGTCTCCCTGCTACATATCCATCCTTCTATTCAATTAGAGCTTCCAATTTTCCAAAAAGAAATCTTAAATTTTCGTTACCATCTCGCATTTTCATGCAAATTTTCTGATACCGAGATTCAAGACTAGGAGGAGGAACAATGTTACTTGGACTGTAAGAAGTACGTTTATAAAAATAAAATACATTTTCCGAGGATGCAAAACCAAAATTTAGCAATGAAATTGGTTACATTTTTTGGAATATTCTACTTACATAATTAGTTGCAATCAAATATGATAAAGAGCAAATTTACAGAATCTTATGGAATAAGAGAACAAAGATATTATATAGTTTTAAAGAATATATCGACAGTCTACAAAAACTTAAATTAAAAATCATAAAAGTATTTAAAATCTGAAACTGTATATGTATATATAAACTGGATCAAATTTTAATATTTCAGTGTAAGAATATACTGTAGTGTAAGGATATGCTACAGTGTAATGATATGCTAGTGTAATGTTATATTACAGTGTAATGTTATATTACAGTGTAATGTTATACTACAGTGTAAGGATATGCTACTGTGTAATATACTGTACTGCAGTGTAGTCAGGAATTACCGTGTGGCTGAGAACACTTCACTTATACTGTACTGTATTTCAAGTGCTTTAACAGACAAAATATATTTTGTTGAAACGGAAATAAACAATTTAAAGCCTAAATGTTCTTGCACAAAATCTAACAAAATAAAGGTATACAAAAATAAAGTCTTGCATTTTAACAATAAACTATATAAAATTTTATTGGTAAAACTTAAAAAACAAAATACAAGTCATATATAGGTATTTAATTAACTTACACCCACTGTGCTCTCTATCTCTAGCTTTAGGAGAAAGTACAGTAGTTCTAATGTTTTATTAACCAAGGCATAATGCAAAATTCATTAACAGATCAAAAGCTGCCTAGTATGAAGATAGAAAAGATCTAAAAAAAATCAAAATACAATATTAAATACAACAGTGGTGTTACCAAACGCAGGAATAATACTCGCTCATCTCGTATTACATTCCTTGATACGCAAGGCTTTCAACTAATTCTGCATGAAAAAAATTAGATAACACCCAATTACCCCTTAATTATCGTGCAACCTTTTATTTTTTGTTTTAACCATTTGAACCTTTAAATTTTGCTTATGTTTTTTTGTAATTGATTGCAATGCAAGTTATGGTTCAAAATTGCACAAGCTGCTTTTGCAGAATCAAAAGTTTTACAATGCTGCAGTTTCTGTAATTTCATTCCAAACACACACACAAATCACAATAGCGTGATATATCAAATGAATAAATCCACAAGGGCCGTGATGAGGGTTCGAACTTACGTCCAGGATGATCCCAGATGCAAGTTTGAACCCCCATCACGGCCCCTGTGGATTTATTCATTTGATATATCACGCTATTGTGATTTGTGTGTGTGTTCTCCGAATAGTGGAGAATGTTGACTGGGATGGTAAAATAATCTCCTCTAATGGCCCAGACTGAATTATCACTTCCACGAGACTTCATGGAAGTAATAGTGTCTTTATTTCAGAATATTCACTTCAGGTACACACAGTACAATCTTGTCTTCACATCTTCCAATATTATTTGATGCCCATAATATAAGTGTAATACTGTATTAACCTACTAAAATAAAGTAGTAACAACTTCCATAAAACATTCTGCATTTACACTAACTGAAAGAGATTCATGCCATAGATCATTCAATGGACAATTTATTGCATTGTACTTATAAATCAGTATGTTCACGAGATTCTACTAAATTTCACCCTCTTTTAGTGAACTATCTACCCCAAACAAACTTATTTATCCTAATATCATTAAGGGAGATGTATATTCCAACATCATTAAAAGTACAGTACAGTATTATATATGAAAACTCTAAGCTAAAACTTTCAAGGGAACATGATTTACAGGAACTGTATGGAAATTACCAGCAAATACCTGTACTGTTAAAATATATCACACTAATTACACACACAATATTCTGATGACGATCACTCGTGTGTTCTTTCCCTACTCTTGTATATATACGACACTATAAGGCAAGGTCTGTAGGATGTAAGGGGTAAAGTCGAGATCTTTTTCTACCTTCTTATTTGAGGCCTATTCAAGTACAGTATATGTATCTTGTTTTTATTCTTCAAAATATGGTTAAAAATACTGACCATTCTTTGTCTTGAGTGTGTTTCATACTACTGTAGGTAATTTTCCACGAATTAATGGAGTGTATGATATTGTACATAAACAAAATATAGATCTTTACTCTTGTTTAGATAAGAATACCACAACCACACAGATACACCCAAACTCAAGCTTATTCTAATACACAGAAATCTCCCGATTATAATGCATAAAGATGACCTTTGAAAACTAACTTAATATACGAGTACAATATCTAAACTTTATAAATAAACTCATAGTCGAAAAGAGACTGCAAGGCATTTTTTTTTTTTAAATAAGCGTATAATTAGCTACTGCTCCTGATGATCTTAAGACTATACAGAATCTGAGATGCCATCAAGTAAAAAATATATCTTGCCACAGTGGCAAACTTCATGCTAAGTCATGCTACACAGGTACATCAAAGCCCTCATTAGTTTTAGATTCTTGTGGGATTTGGTGTACTGTACCTTCATGTTTTTCTCCTATTGATTTTTTTAAACAAAAAATGCAAATAAGTAGATATAATATATAGCTATTCTATGGTATTAAATACCAGTTTTAAAATAGTAATGAAGAGAAAGAGAGTCCATAACTTAAAATTCAAAGGAAAAAGAGAAGATAAACGAATACAAGAGAAAAATAAAGAGAAAAAGAGCAAAAAATGAGAAAGAAGGGAGAAGGGAGAAGAGAAAAGGTTGCACACATCCTCCTCTTGAAATGTGCACATTCCTTATCTGCACCTATAGGGAATGACATCTAGCTCTAGGGTTCTGCTTCTTAGATACTGTACCTGGTGCAAGTACAATATTCTTCTAGAAGTTCTCGTTATGGAATCTGCTGTTAAAGCTACACATGGCGGTTGCTTCCATCAAGTGTGATTACTAATGTGTAGCTACAGGAAGACTATATTGTGCCCTTGGTATCCAAGTCTTATTGAATATAGAGCTCTTGAATTTTCCAGTACTTTTGGTACATTTTACCCAATTATGTGTGTGTGTGATTGCCTATTTGTAGTTATCTTGAGTTATCATCTAGTTACTTGAAGAGATATGCTAATAGTATCCCACATTACTTATTTAATGATATATATACTGTATTTGCCATATTTTTTATCTTTAAATGTATAAAAAAAAATTGCCCTGCGTTTAATGCGGTCATATTACGGATGCGAGACCAAGAGCCATAGGCTACGGAGCCGCATGAGCATACTGGGCAAGTTCCCTAGGCACAAAAATCATTGCTAATAATGAAATATTGAAAACAAGCCAAGTTATCAGTCTTATCACAAACCTACGAAAAATTGCTTACAATATACGTCGGCAGTTATGAAGGAAGCTCATCATCATCTCGCCACCTTACCCCAATATACATAACCCACACCCGATATATGTCATACATTATTGTGACTCATCGCCTGCATGTCATACATTATTTAATGACTGTGTTACCTTTAAGAAACATTTATTCATTATCTAAATGAAAAATTGCTCCTAGAAATTTGAGAGGAATGTTAAACTTTCATCTGCCTGTCAGCCATTTGCAATGAGTGGATGAGAAGAAAACCAGAGCGCTGTGATGGTGCGCCGCCCTGGTGGCCTGATGCAGCAACACATAACATCCTATCCAGAAATACAAGTTTCCCATCCTGTATAGCAATTCTCTTGCCCAATATATAAACAACTGTACAGCTGATCTTAGAGGAGATAAGAGTTGGGGTTACAAATTCCACTTTAAAATATCTTTCAATAAATGTATGACGAAACATTACTAAAATTGATTGTTTCCACAATTTATCCTAGTCGGCCGAGTGGACAGCACGCTGGACTTGTGATCCTGTGGTCCTGGGTTCGATCCCAGGCGCCGGCGAGAAACAATGGGCAGTTTCTTTCACCCTATGCCCCTGTTACCTAGCAGTAAAATAGGTACCTGGGTGTTAGTCAGCTGTCACGGGCTGCTTCCTGGGGGTGGAGGCCTGGTCGAGGACCGGGCCGCGGGGACACTAAAGCCCCGAAATCATCTCAAGATAACCTCAAGATACTAGGGATGCGTCCAAGGCGAGGGTGCGTCTGTTTACGCCGGCAAATATGGTACATATATTAAACACTAGAAGAGGTCAGAGTTACTAGCATGAGAGAGCCCGAGTGATGAGAAGGGAGACGGTGGGTAAGATGGGAGGGAGGGAAGACCGGCAAGGATGAAGTGGGAACTTCAAATTTAATCTTTAGTAATAGACATAAAAAACTCCACATATTTGGCTTAGTTATGTACTAGCTTATAAAATACAAATTAAACCTACCCTAATTTCACTTGTGCAAATGTTTTTACAATGAGCAGCAAATACCCACTCTCATTAACAGTTTAGAAAAATACAAATGCTTTAATAGCCAGGATTTTCTGTATTATAATTTGTTAACATTCTATAACTTTGAAATTAGAAAGCTCAGCCGATTTAAAAAAAAAATACGACATTCCTCCTCTAGAAATTGTTTTAGTCTCTTTCAAAACCTCTATAATACTAAAAGATGGCAGAAATGTCTGAAGATTCTACTTAAGGCCACTCCCTCAGGAAAGAAGTTCCCAGAGGGAACAAGGCATCATAAACATAAAACCTCTATTACTACTGGAACACATTCTGGATTAACACCAGCTTTTCTTGTGGATTACCCTTTACCCTGAGGATGTACAGCATTTGCAAAATTTATGACATCTACACTATATATATTACATTAAAGATATTAAATAAACATGGAGAGAGAAGATACAGCATCTTGGTCATTTTCATCATTCTGCTCTTTGATTCAAGAAGATTTGTTCTTTTAAGAGATGAATATTAATGAAATATTTTTATATTTGCACTAGATTTAGTATTTAATCTAAAATTCTTTGTGTTAAGCATGCATTACCTAATGCAAGATTTGCCTTAGCAGCAGCAAAGGAGACGTCCCTAACCTCTGAATAGAATGATATGAAAATCTCCCCAAATGCACGCTTAATTTCAGTCAACAAGACATGGCGGGTAATACGACGTGATGAAGGTGCAACAGTCGTCACACTTTAGATACATCTGAATGGTCAACATGTCATGTCATGGGTATGCCTGTGGTTGGTTGGGTCGATGCTCAAAACAAAATTAAAAAGTAAAAATGATAGCATGGTAGAACACATGCGATTATGCACAGGTCAAAACCTTAAGAAATGGATCAAAAGGGAAGCCCTATTAGTTATAAGTACATACCCTATAAACAGTGGACAGTTCAGTTAAATGCCAAAATACATCAAAATTAACTGATTTTCAATGTCTTGGTTAACAAAACAGTCAAACCACCTCCTAAAACACTTTCATCTGTAGCATTTTCATGAAGACTGTTTAATATTTATTATTAAAATTATTTTTTGTTGTATAGATTTGAATGTGTTTACTTACTTAGTATTTTATATAATGTACATGAGAATGCATATCTAGAGCCACACAGTTGAGTATTAATCTTACATTGCTAGAATACATTGGAAATAATCTTAATACTAGCTTGCAATCAGGCTGGAATCTAGGAATCCATTTTGATCATTAAACAAAATATTATCAGACCACTGGCAGTGAATAACTGTTGATTAATAGTTAATATAAAACAATACCATTAGCCAGCACTTGAAAGTCATAAGAGAGAAATTCCACAATACTAATAGCACAAATATTGCTTAAACCCCTAAACGGCTGCAGTTGCTATCTGCAATTATCTCCTGAATGCAAATTGTCAAATGTGATTTGTTGATTGTCAAATCAAATAACTTTTCCATGTGCACCACAATGCGGTATAGAACTTTTAATTTGCCGAGCTGTTTAAGGGTTGATTGGTACTGAAGACTATGGTTCTCACAAAAGTTATGAGAGCCACTAAAAACAACTGGTCCTATGCCTTGACTGAGCCTTGCAAAACTTGCAAGAAGCACTGACTCTGGTCCTACGTTCTGACTGAACCCATGTAAGATCTCTTACTTACCATTTAAATTTCTCTTCCCAATACAAAAATCTCTTGGTGGAGTAAAAATATATCTATAAATATATATCTGTATATTACAATTTGAGACAGAAGAATGAATACTTTGGTTAAAATTAAGATGGTGCTACAGATCATTTATACTGCTAGATTTTTCCCCGAGAGCCAAATGAGACGAAGCCACTACTGTATTTGAATTGGACAATACATTGACAAAAAAATATAAAAATATCTAGAGATTCATAACAATTACCAGTCCTGTAAGGTAGGAAAGTAATGCAATGACAAACAAATCCTCCAAGATCTCAGAAAAATACATTGTTTCATTATTGCTGCCTAAACATGCAACTGTGTTTCTTATAAACATGGGAAAAAACTATTTCCCAGAAAATCTGTACTGTACAGCCCCCCATAACAATTCAATGTTTTTCCTCACTCAAAAACATTTTATTTGCCTGTTTACCACAAATTTCACATCTCTCATTCACACTTCCCTTTGCCACCTTTCAATTTAATGCTTACATTGTATATACATTTTGATGACTGGCAAAAACTAGATACAGTAAAACTATTGAAAAATCAACCACACCTCATAGCCACCTACAGGGCCAATACAAAAGGTGATTGCAGTGACCTGCATTTCACTGTACAGTATTACAGGACAATATACTGTACGATTTAAGCAAATGGCAAAATATTTGGAAGAGCACAGAGTAAATAGTGGTCAGAGCAAAAATATACTATTGTTGCTTACAGCCATCTTTGCTACTAGACTTCTCCTTTGGTGCCTTTAGTCTGTGGTTCTTCTCTAAACTGGCTGTGCGTCTCTGACCTTGAATAGGCATGTATGGCGGAACTGGATAATCATCATCATCATCAAATACTGCAAAGTCACAAAAGGTATTTTGTCAATTAAAATAAAACAATGTAAATGCCAACCGACATCTTTTCTCCTTCCTTTTCACTAAAATTTTTTACCCCTTTTTTAAAGGTGTAACTTTATGTTCAATCTTTACCAAACATGTCATCTGCATGCATGCATTAAATGCTACGAGGAAATATTTTCCACCAGAAATCCTGATGTTAATGATACCGCCATCCGTTGGTGGTTTGATACCGTTGGTGGTTTGCATCAAGTAATAAACCATGCAAGTCAGAGGCCAGAGTTGTTGGCCTCAGTCCCCTGTCCAGGCTTGTATTAATTTGCAGGAGTTGGTAATGATGTGGCCATCAATGAAACTAAGAACGTCAAAGGGTGTGAACAATCACTCTCCCTCTGTAAAGACCCCACTATATTACTCTCCACTACTAGCCTAAAGGTTAAAAAGCTTAAGTACCTGGAGGAGGTAGTGGTGATATTGGTGATCCAATTGAAGGCCCAGCCAAGCCTCCGGTGCCACTGCTTGTTGAGGATGAGGAGGAGGATGAGTGGGGCGAAGCCAGCTCTCCCCGCATCACTCGACGCTGATAGGTTGGGTCAATGGCACATGCAATATTGGTAAATCCCATTGCTGGGGTTTGTTCCATGCTGCTGCTGCTAGCACTGCTACCCACTAATTCGACAGCAGGAGCTTCAGGGTCAGGAAGTCTATGAAGAACAGTAAATTCAAGTAGTATTATAAGATTGATACAGTAATTTATGTTTTCTAAGCCCAATCCAATATTTCATAAATGTATAAATATTACTCAGGGAATGGCAGGAAGGAATGGAGTCACTGTACTGCAAACTATTTTGCTCCCTTACAGTATGTACATTTTCCATTTTTGTTATTTTTATTTAATTGTAATTAAATTTAAAAAAATACATTTATATTAAAAATATTTAAAAATTTAGTTAAAAATGTTTAACTACTGTAATATAATTTGTACAAAAGGGATTGTTTGTTACTTTGTATCTGAATTGGTTGGGAAATCATGGGAATTGTTAGTAAGAGGAAGAGCAGTAGTGGGAAGAGTAATGACCAAAAAATATTGAGTACATCTTAATATGAAGTTGGCAGTACTTAATATGATCCATTGGCAGTACTGTACTAGCAAGAATCAGTCAAGAGACAGAAGTAGTCCACTACAAGGTAGAAGACAGATTCTGAGGCAAGAGAAGGCTGGATGGATATATGGGTGAGGTAAAGATCCATCATGAAGGCCCAAAATATGTGATATCTTAAAGGCAGAGCCCAGCTCCACTTCCCAGCATATCACCCATCCAATGCATCTTGCTAGAATGAAAGTACTTGTAGTATCCTTTGGTCAAAAGTACCAATAAGTACTATCACTTCAGGAGGATGGGATGTCATAGCCGAATGTATGCAAGGTATTTTCCCTCCACAGATGCTAAACAATAAATACCTAGGTTTATTGGTCTTGCCCAAAGGAAACTGGTGATGTGCATATTTTGATTTTTCTGAATGAGATACAGCATATGAAGAGTGTGATGTCCCAGGCAAATCAAGTGAATTTGGTCTCTGTAATGGCCTCCCTCGAGGATCCTGCAAATCTCCATCCGAATCCTCATTGGGAGAATCTGGAGACATGTAAGTAGGGCTTGAACTTGTGTAGTCTGTCAGTCGAGATTCTTGATAGGTATAGCCAGATGGTCCAGGTTGTTCCGAGGTTGCTGGTAATGATCTTAAAGGTGAGTTGCTGCCTCGTCCACTCTGATACGAAGACAAAAAAAAATTAACAAAAAACCAGCATTGAATGTAATGAAACACCATTTTCTGGGTGAGACCCGGAGGCTTCCCGGAGCTTACTAGCCTGATATGCTAATGTCAGACTTTGGCATCAGTCATGTGTATGGAGTTCAGTGGGCCTACTGGGGACTACGAGCCAAAACCTGGCCCCTCTCAGAGAGGCAAGGGGAGCAATGGCCTATAGAAACCCCCGTGTGGTTGGAAGCATTCTATGTCTGCCATCGACCAGGTCACAATAAACAATATATAACACCATTTACTTACATTTAAAGTATATTTATTCATAATGTTATAACAGTGACAAGTTGTGTCCAAAGTTGGTCTTCAGCTGTCTCTTTGTTGCATGCATGACAACTTTCTCCTCTAAGTACAATATAATAAAGAGATCAGTGTAGAGCTAGCTCTAAAAAGACTGCATTATCTTCAATCATCTATGCTGATCTCTCTCTCATTCCATACATTTGCCTACCTTATCTTTTAATTACTGTTATATTAACATTGTGGGAACAAACCTGAGTACTGGGTCCAGAGGGATCGAGCAGAAATTCTGGTGGCAGGTGTGCAAGTTGAGACTGCTTTTTCTGAAGGGCCTTCTGCCGAGCCTTCTCACGAGCTTTTTTAGCTTTTGCTCGTTCCTGAAACCAGCAAAATTTCTATGGAGCAACAATTTTTTTTGTATAATCTACTACTCATAGCCCTGGTCTACAATGGTTTCATGCTGTTCACAATGTAATGAAAGCAGTGATGAAGTGTATCCCTGCCTGATGTTTCATAAACAAGAATTACGATTTCAATACGTGTTCAAAGACCTTCAATCACATGATCACATGAAATACCTCCTTTATTCCTGATAATATTAATACATGAAGAGATTCATTCATGAAGACCTCGCATGCATTTTATTAGTTCATCTTTAAACTTTCCTTCTAGCTTTATGTATTCCAATACTGTACTCCTTCATTGTCCGTACCATACCAATAATGTATTACACCTACATTCTCAACAATTTACTCAATAAATATTATTAAGGGAAAAAGAAGTAATAAAAGCTGATGGACACGCCTACAGATGAACTAGATAGGTCTTGATTGCATGAAGGTAACAGAAAAAGGTATCCTTGTTGCTAGCAAATCTCAAGATATATAAACAGGCTGTTGTATCAACCACCAGTTAGTGTAACGAGCATATGTTATGAAAAAAGCTCCTAGATTTATTGAATTTTGATAATGTTTATATTGGTTGTAGTATTTGAAACAGCAGTTTTTATGGAAGTGATGATGCAAACAACAGCTTACTGTATTGTCAATAAAGGACACTCTGCAGTGCCAGTAAGGCCTTACTATGGTGCTAACTAGCAGCTAGCACCATTTTTTCATCTTTACATTAACCTTAAAATAAAATGTTTACACTTTTATTTTTATTTGTTTTCCTTGCCTTTTGATTTTTCATTTTTCATGCTACTTTCTCTCATGCTCAGCAATATTCATATTATCTTCACATTCACATAAATAGTGGTGACTGCTAATTATAGGTGAAAATTTAAGGGCAAGGTTTAACACCAAAATACATCTCAATGCCCAAGACAAAATTCCTGCAAGGAGAGGACAAGGCCTCAAAGAGATATAGATAAATACATTATAAATTAAGATTCATGCCGAGAACACACCTGCTCCTGCAGCACCTTGGCCAGCTCTCTGTCCTGCGCCTCGATGGCCAATAGCTGGTCCTGGTGCAGGAGATCCCCACGCCTCTTCCCATCCTGCTCCTGAAGTAGCCGGGCTAACTCCTGTAAATTAGTTGTGCTCGCGTGCACCCAAATTTGACATCGCTCATGCCAATGTCATCAATACAATGAATTGTAACTCATTTCAACTCTTATAAAGAGCTAATTTTGCTAATCCTAATTAGAAATAGTGCTGAGAGTAAAATGATAGTTGTACGCTACCAAAAACTGACAAAATTTAAAGTAAAAAAATCATAAGGAAATGTATTGAAAACAATACAATGTTACAATTTCTCGAGTGTAATAAAACGTTCGGATATTATCTATGACAGTAATTCTAACAACAAAAAAGAGAGATGCCAACAAGTAGCATCAGCATCAAATGCTTTATAAACTCACAGCATCTTGTCCCTCCTGCAATACCCTCTGTTCCTCCTCATCCATGTCTTCTGTAGGCTGCAGACAAAAGTCGCTCAAGTCGGACAAATCTGACGAAACCCCACTGGTATTACTCTGTGCTGATCTATCGCTGCTCACAGTGCCATTCACATCACGTTCCCTAGAAAATATTGTGAAAGTTTAAATTTGTGCTTACCGAGATTCTATTTATGATTTTTATCTGCCAGCAAGCTAATTTGCTCCTTAAAAAGATAAATATGCATCTATACAGTATCTTGTCTCTCTAATAACTGTATCCAAGTAATAAAAAATTAATCTTTTTCTTTCTCATACCTAGTCTATCAGTCACTTTCACTACAAAATGTGTACAGTACTTCAATCTGGCATATTCTCTTTACAATGCAAAATTATTCATACCACACCAAGTAAATACTAAACCAAATTTAAAGGGAAACCTGCAATTTAGCAGCTGAAAGCAAAAACACACAGATGACAAACTAAAACAGACTAAATTAATACAGTACTGTATAGTACAGTACCTGCGTTCTTTGCGAGAAAGCAAGGCCACGTTATCACTCCCAGAGTTTATGCCGAGGTATGCAGCTTCTCTTTCCACTTGCCGTAATTCTCGGTTCTGGCGTATAGATTCTTTTTCTCGTTCCTGAAAAAAAATAAAAATAAGCCTTCGAGCATAAATGAAAAAAACATTTTCTGAACCAGGCACTCTGAGCATATATCTAACTTATACTTGAAACAATCCAGTGATCCAACACCTATTATCCAGTAATTGCTTTCATAAATCTACAACCCTATTCCAAAACCAGTATTTACTAAGGTCTTTTTTTTTTTTTTATTCTAAACTTATCCTATTTGTATCCATTGTTGTGTATTCCATTTAATATTCACAGTTAGCACTATTAATATTTCCCTTATTATATCCTTTTATCTATTTGCATAAAGTTACATTCCCCCCCTTCACTCTTTACCTTTCTATAGAATGCAAATTAGGATTTCAACATCAATAACATTGATTCAACAATACTTGAGCATGTATTGATAATTAAACCCACTGGCTGGAAGAGAGAACAGGAGGACGGGAAAGAAAGATCTGGGCACCGCTTGATATCCCATCTATCGATAAAAGATGTCTGTCTTTTGTTTTTATGTTGAAGGTTGAAAACCAGACACTAGGAGTTAGCCTAATGCAACTTTGCAGTGATTGGTTATTACTTTATGGAAATTCTCATAGGGTGGTCAAGATCATTTACAGTGATGAAAACAATGTTGTGAATATGGTTACAATGATGAAGCATGACAGGGAAGGTGTGGAAGAGGGAGAAGGGCTGTGTGTTTGTTGGAAGATCTGGAGATTGTGTGCGTAGTGGCAGATGGGGAGGGTGTATGCAGACAAAGGCCTGGGCAAAGGGTCGACCCAGGCACTGTTGGGTGCTCCCTCTAATAAATTAAATCAAAGAAATTAGATTGTGCAAATCTCAAATGTCCCAGTGCCTCAGGACACTGCCTTAATGAGCACTTGCAAAGGAATGCAATCCTGGAACAAAATGTAAAAAGTTGTCAACTAACCATCAGACAGCGAGCATACAACATGTCTTGTTCCTCTTGCTGCTTTTGTTTCTCCATGTCTTGGACATTCAGCTTCAGTGCCAAGTTGGCTGCCAAATCTGCATCACGAGCCTCCCTGAGCAAGAATTCACAAATCACAAACCCCACAACAAAAGCACCCCACAATTTCATTTGTGTATTCAAATTTCACCCCATCAAACTTTTGGAAAGTAATGCATACATTAGGTCAAACAAAAATGTCGACTCCAGCAACAATAACAATGCAGCCTTCAAATGCACTTCCTTAAATTATCTACAAATTTGAAAAAAATATTTAAAAATCAGATGTATAGATATACAGTATTGTATTTTCATGTGCTCCACCTCCATATATTATCTTATCAAAAGCCAATATTAAAGATTTGGTGATAACCCAAATTTGATGTATTTCTGTTACTGTATATAAAATGTAGTTTCCTGAAACAAATGATATACAAAATCTGTCTTGTTATAACAACTCACTGCTGAGCCAAAGCCAGCTCATAAGCCGTTTGGGCTAAGGCTGCTTCATGGTCCTCTCTTATCTGCTCTTCTTTAGCCTTGGGTGTGTCCTGACGCAGCAGCTGATTCCTCTCTCGGTTATTACCCAAGTGAGATTGATCTGCAAGTGACGCAAATGTAAAAATAGATTATGCAAGCACTCGGCAATGAAGTGTTGATTCATCAATGCAACCTCCAAAACTGATAGTACATTAGCTATGAATGTAATGTACAAAATTGAACTGTTGCAGCCAAAAGGAAGTTAAGTTTTGTGCTATCAGAATTTCTCTACACAGCATGCCAAATAATGGAACAGTAAATACAGTCCTAACCTATATCAAGACTAAATAAGCCGTTCTAGTCCTAATATATGCCATATTAGGCCTAATTTATTACTGTACACATGTAATAAATTCATGATACCCACCACTATAGCTCTGTGCAGAGTCATAGGGCTAAAAACCAATTACCACCCACCAACTGACAAGAAGTCAAAGTTTAGGCAATTAGGTTGGGTGTGTGTGTGCTGCTGTTTGGTCCAGGGCTAACATCTGGGGATGGTAAACCAAGATAACTATGTAAATGTGGTAATTGATTATCGACCACAACCTACCATTGGCAATCACCCCTGTAATGTCGGGGAAGTAAGGGGGGGAAAACGATTAGTGCTGCAAGACATTAAACTTTATTAACAGATAGTTTGTCGCTCTTGAGTCGACTGAATTACTGTATTCTCCAGTGACTTTCTTCTCTTTTTTTCCCCCCTAGCCCCATTCATGACTCAGCAGGGATAACATGAAACTATCCCTGTGCCTTCAGAGTATTTCATCCTGCTGGACTGTGCATAACCCTTTCCAATAACACAGCAGAATGAGTGAGCTTAGCAATAAGGTAGCAAGCTGTAAAGAGGCTCATAAATAAATGCATACCACGTTCTATGGAGGAAATTAAAAATAAATAAATGCACATGAAATACAGTACAGAGGTTCATTATAAATAAGTGCATGACAAGCTGCAAGGGCCTTATCAAACAAATGCAAATTAAGCTTAAAGAATGTTGACCAAACCACTAACTAGAAAGTGAAGGGATGGCGTTTCAGTCCGTCCTGGACCATTCTCACAATCGACTTGAAAATGGTCCAGGACGGACCGAAATGTTGTCGTCCCTTCACTTTCTAGTGTGTGGTTTGGTCAACATATTTCAGGCACGTTATTGTGACTCCTCGGCTGCATAAGCTTTAATAATGTTATTTATATATAAATTAAGCTGAAAGTTGGAGACTGCATACTGAGAGGAAGATCTATAACTAAAAGCAAATTGCACAAGCTATAGGCAACTGACCACTAACTCAGCTGCTCCTTCTACAAATGATGGAGCAAAGAGATAAAGATGCTATCCTATGAATGTGTATGTATGCTACCCCATTTTTGCACTTCGCATTTATGGGAGGGAGACAGAAGATGGGTCACATGATCCCACTCCTTTCGCTTTATTGCAGTTTGTATTAATAATTGGGAGACGGGGATAGGTAGAATTACCACATCCCCTATGCCAAGGTTTGGAAGGTCTGCTGACAATTGTTTATTACCGGGTATCTAAACACACTTTACTATCCCTATAAATCAGGTTGGTTCATGCTACATGTTTTAAACACACTATTCCTGGCATTTTTATACCGTTTAGCAAGCACTCAAAAAAAAAAAACAAGGTACAGTACCATAATTCCATCACATGTATAATTTTATGCTCTTGTATAAATTATTTTTTCCATAGACAAAGCCCCAAGAGTCTATATATTGTACAACTAAACAAAATAGGATCTTACATTCTTCATTTTGTAGCCTGTAGGCCAAAGCTTGATCTTCATGCAGAAGCCACTCTCGACACACTGAAAAATAAGACCATGTTCCGATTTCAACAGATGCAAAGTGCTTACTACTTTGTGCTTACTACAACTTAAACAAAATTCAAACAAATACACTGATGCATTCATAGAGTATAATCTTGATTGAGTTGACATCAAGTTACTATTAAGATATCCAATAGTTGTGTACTGTACAATACTTAGTTTTGTGCAAGTGCCTTCATAACAATAAGAATTTGTTATGCTTACACTTTAGTCAAGGCATAGTTAGATCTTAATACAAGCTGCAAGCTACAAGGATGAAGCTTAATTAATAAGGCAAGAAAAAAGGAAAGCTTTTTGACATTTCTATCATATAACATATTGTTGTCAGTATATTTTAGACTATTAGTGGTAAGGACTTGCACCGCATTTAGTACAAATTTAATTATGAGCAAAGGTTTGTTATAGGAGTTGACTAGTCAGTCCCTGTGATCAACCAATATGCTGAAAATACCTAAATTTAACAGTCTTCCAGAATCTAAATAATCTTTAGATTCTGGAAGACTTTATAATAATCAACTCTAAACCAGGTAATTTATTAAAACAAAGAGAGACCACTCAAAAGAGTACAGACAAGATATGTTAGTTTTACAAAGAGAATGAAAACCCTAACATATAAGCCCAACTTTTCTATGCATATGGAAAGCATTGTCTAAACTTGAAACTCTCAGCACTCCCTAAGGTAAGATCCAATTGGGTCTTGAGAGGATCTGAGCTGTCAGGCATGGTAACATCCAAACTGACACCACAAGTTTCAACAAGCACCTGTGCAGGGTCATACTGGTTTTAGGAAGCAATGCAGATCATACAACACAAGTAGTCAAGAGGAAAAGTACTCTCACAGTACTTAAAAGCCCTTAAAATTAACTGAAACCACTGATTAACACTTAACTACTGTGCTAGTCAGCCCAATTGGCCTCTACCACTACCTATCTTCCAGATAGCAGCATCAAACCCACAATAAGATCACTTGGACCTTCCCATCCCACGAATTACTAAATTCAAGTCTAGTGAACTGGGAATGAAAGCAAGGACTGGAAGTAACAGTGCCAAGCTCAGAAAGGTGCTTTTTATAGGCACTCGAAGCTAACTTTTCTGAACCATTCCACAATTTTTTCCTTAACCCTTACATAGCTGCCAAAGTTAATTAAGGCACAGTATAGGAGTTCAGCCAAGGTCAATGCAGTCTACACTAATTAAAGTTTCTTTACAGAACTTCTTACAGAACTTCTAAGAACTTCTTAGTTCTTACAGTACTTCTAAGAATTTTACTTAAAAATCCACATAATTACAAAAGCTTGAAATTTCTCTACGTACTGTAATATTACTTAAAAATCATAAACCTTGATATTGTACATAAGACATTAGTTAAAAGAATTTTGGAGCATGTGCCATCATTGCAATTTAAAATATTAAGGCAAAATAATTACTTTTTTTTTTTTTAGTAAACCACATTAATTTATGCTCTCCCTTGAATCGTATAAGACAAATTTTTATTGTTGTAATTCTTCTATTCAAATCTCAGTAACTAATATGTTTCTCTGTCAACAGAGCAAGCAAGAAAATGATATAGTAGTCTTCAACATGATACTGCATTGACAAATGAGGGAGCCAAACAGAGCCGATCCAAACACTAAATCAAGCACAATATCCAACAGCACAGCATTAGGTAGTCAGTTACATTAGGATAGATTAATAAGGTTAAATATAAGTTTCCACTACTACACAGAACCTGGCAGATAGACGTGCTGTAAGTGACATTATTACAGTATCATTTACATTGTTTTTGCCAAATCTTGGCATTCTTGCATCATTTGCAAACTGAATGCACATGTTACATTGTACATTATCCTGAATTTAATAATACCAAACTTGCACATTGTGGAATGCACTACGCAGTGATGTAGTGGAGGCAGACTCCATACACAGATGGAGTCCATAACCATAGTTCTTATGACAAATTGGCCATATTTAAAACCACAACACATTTTGAGGATTAATTTGAAAATTGTTTGACTTATAAACCCATATATAATCTACAGACTGTGAATATAGGCTTGTGGGACACTCGTCTTTAGATACCAGCATAGAGCCATTGCACTCTTGTATAATACAAGTTACAATGATGTATTAGGCATTATATAAGCAGGGAAGTGATAAGTTGTTTTTCATACATCTATGTAGTGCAGCACAAAAGGCCTATATCCAACATAGCCAAAAACCTTAGGTTAGGTAAAGATTCACAGATAAAAAGATTCCTCGTGTAACTCAAAATGCACTCTGCAATTTTCAACATGGCCTGCTTCCCAGATTGGCAGAAAATGCTATTCAGTTCCAAAAGCATTAACACATCATGTTAGCCTAAGTTAAAAGGAAAATACAACACAGTGCTATAGTTTAAATACAGTACTCCAAACATGTGCATCTTCAATTTTGGAAATTTGCTTTCTGCCATACTGAATAAGGTTAGGTTATATTAGATTGCAATCACCAAACTATATTGGTTATTCTTATGGTTTTCTAACGTCGGGGACAGTAAGCCTGTTAGGTCCATCGAGGTCCCCCTAGACCACTGACTTTACCTTCCCCAGGATAAAACTCACAACGGTTGCCTAACACCCAGTTACCTATTTGCTGGTAGGTGAAGGCATCAGGTGTAAGGAAACATGCCCAAATATCTTGTGCCCTGCCCAGGTCTCCAACCTGGGACCAATCGGTTGCGAGCTGACTGCATTAGCCACTGTTCTACAGGTCACCAAATAGTTAACATGTGCATTTTAAAAAGCTTACCTGACCTAACCTAGTGGACATATATATAAAATTAAAATACAAAACAGTATATACAGCATAGATTTTTAATTAGAATTTACAGATATAACAAGTATTTGAAATGCTTGTACCCTTTATTTATTAACAATGGCATGCCATTTCAGAATTCTGAAAAAGAAATGTAAACAGTAAAAACTTAATAAACATAAAACAATCTTAATATTACAGTACAATGCAGACAAGATTGCCTTTATATAACAGAAAAGCTTGTTCAATGAACCAATTTACAATAGGCTAAATGACAATCATTTTACAGTTCAGAGTATGGACCATCTTAAAACCCATTAATAACTTTATGTAATGATGACATAGCTATTGAGTACTAATAATGCAAGTCCTATAATATTTACATTTTTGATCAACCATTGCTGTCAAAAGACCTAGTTATACTCCTGAGTAATGCTGACTCGAGTGTATTAAGAATGCTTGATAATGCTGACCTAATTATCAAAATAAGAAAAAATACCGAATGAAATGCTTACCTGCTTACTGACCAATTAGAATAGGTATCAACAGGAATATTGACATAAATACTATTGATTTATTCCACATGTACATGAATGTAACATCATCAATACTATGTCCTCTCATAAACCCAATGTACCTTCTTGTATAGAAATAAATAATAAATAAATAATATGCATCGTCAATATGCTGTAGAGTCGAGAGGTGAAGCACCCGAAGGCCTGTATCTACACACCCCCATCATCATCTACTACACAAAACACCTAGGCAATAAGAACACCCAAAACACTGTCTCAAGACGTCAAACAAACCGGAGATGACCTTACCTTCAGTGACTCTCCCCCGCTGGGGTAGGTCTTCGGGGCTGCCCCCATCAGCCATCGCTCGCACCTGGAACTCCGCCATGGCCTCCTTCGGCAGGTTGCCAGTCTGGTGTTCCTGCCAGAGAGACGCCCCCAGCGGTGGAACAGCAAGAGGGTGAAGAAGGAGGTAGGTATAGGCAGGCGGCCGCTGACGGAGCTAGCGTGAGAGTGGCTGTAGTACGGTGCGGGGGAGGTGGTGGCCTGGGGGTAGCCATTGGGGGATGGATGGAGGGCCCCCATGTTGTGTGACACACTCCCCCGCCGCCCACATGGACAAAGGAACCCCCCAACCTCCTCTCCTGACGTCACTCATCGACGTCACTCACAGTTTTCTCCCTATACTTGATGTCACTTGTAGTCTCTCTCTACCTGCCATCATTCAGAACTGCCCCCCCCCACATGACATCATTCAGAACCCCCTCCCTCACCAGCTAACATTCTTTTGGACCTCTAGTTTATGTCATTCAGGAACCATACTTGATGTCATTCAGAAACCCTACTTGATGTCATCCAGAAACCCCACTTGATGTCATCGAGAAACCCCACTTGATGTCATCCAGAAACCCTACTTGATGTCATCCAGAAACCTCATTTGACGTCACACATGGGTTCCGTTAGAAGTACAGTTGGGTTTGTTCTCAACTCACAATCAGGAATCCCGGGTTCGAATCTCTGCAGAGACAGAAATGGACATGTTTCCTTTCACCTAATGTACCAGTTCGTCTAGCAGTTAAATAGGTACACGGGTAGTTAGTCATTTAAAGAATATTAATCCAGACCACTTTTTTTTATTATTATTTATTTATGCATATACAAGAATGTACATAAGGAATGTGAGGATACAATTATGGTAATTACAGTCTTGTAAAGCCACTAGCACGCGCAGCGTTTCGGGCAGGTCCTTAATCTAAGAAAATTTTAAGGAGGTAAATACTTGCAAAATTTATAGACAAAAAAATTATAACAGATTACATGGAATGAAAAAAAAAAGATGAGAGAAAATTATAGGTACAGTATATTAAAGCACATAGGTAGCTATGATTGATTGCAATGACAGCTTAAAATGGTAGTTGACAACAAATTGGTAGGCACAATACAGCAGAAACAATATAAGATTGATTGCAATGACAGCTTGAATGGTAGTTGACAAAAATTGGTAGTCACAATACAGCATATGGCTAGCACATAAAAGAAGACAGCAATGAACACAATGATAAGGTTGTTTGATATTACATAAAAATTAGGAGAATGGGTACCACTAGGTACAGAGCATTTATACACTTCTATATATATACATTTATACATTTATACACAGAGCATAGGTACACTTCTTTAAACGGTCAAATGTAACCCCCCTCCCCATGAGGTCAGACTCAACAAATCACAATGTAGGATAGAAAACGGCAGATACTTTTTTTCACATACAAGGTTATATACTTATACTGAAGAATTATACCTTCTAGGATGGGTACCCGGAATAGTCTGGCTCTCCCCTCAATCCTACCCCTCTCCCCTAACCCCTCCCCTCTTTTCTTCCCTCCCCCCTCCACTTCCTTCCTTCCTTCCTCTCATCTCCTTACACTCCCCGTGAGAGACATAGAGACAGAGGAAGACAGAGAGAGCGATGGAATGAGAAAGAGACAGATACAGACAGAGGTATAGACAGAGATATACACAGAGAGAGACACAGCCCCCTCCGGGTGGAGGAGGCGAGAATAAGTGTGAGTGGGGGAGAAATTTGAAGAGCATGGGGGAGAGTGTGAGAAAGGAATAAGAAGGGAGAAAGTTGGAGAGGGTGGGAGATGAGAATTATTATACAGACAGTGACAGACAGTGATAAGCCTGAAGAGAAACCGAGTCGACCAGGGCAAAAAGAAAAGCAGGATGACAAACAGAACAACAGACAGAGACAACAACACAGAAAACAGAAGCAGACACAAAGATATTTAGAGACGCAAAGCCGAAGGAAGAAGGAAGGCCGAAGGAGGAAGGAAAGAGGAGGCCAGGATGTTTGAAGTAAAGGAAGGAAAAGGGGAATATTTGAAGACAAGGGATGAAAGAAGGGGAGACAGGTGGAGAGTGGAAAAGAGCGGGAGGAGGGAGATAGAGGTAGGAGGTGAAAGGAGTGAGAAGTGTGAGTGAAGGAGGACCGTGGAGAGGATGGGGGGGAGTGGGAGAAAGGGATGAGAGGGGGAGAAAGTTGGAGAGGGTGGGAGATGGGAAGAAAGGGAGCTAGGGAAAAAGATAAGAAAGGGGGATACTGGGGAGATGGGGAAGGGGAAAAAACAGACCCGGGCACAGCTGGGCATGCGCCCCTAGTGACCTACATATATTAAACCCCGGCCCAGCCTTAGTTTAAAATTAGCCCGTCCTCAGACCAAATCCATTACGATTAAACTACGCCCTCTACCCTCCCCCCCTCTTCCTTTCAAAATAACTGGATGGTTATCTGGATATTTGTGATTGTCTGAAAACATATTATGGTTTCGGTAATAGGCTACATGTAAACTGGTAAGTGAACCTTTGTCTTAAACAGATTATTCTCAAGTTATAACTTTATTGTAATATAAATCATTGGTTTAAAATATAAAGTGTATGCTGAAAGCGTTTTCTTTAAAGAATATAGTTTTCTGTAAACGGAATTCTTTTATACACTGAAATAGTTTTCGAATTCCATATTTCATATTATGGTCAATATTACACCATATTAACGTAACCAAACCTAATGAAACCTAACCTAACCAACAGACGTAATGAAACTTAACCTAACCAACAGACGTAATGAAACCTAACCTAACCAACAGACGTAATGAAACCTAACCTAACCAACAGACGTAATGAAACCTAACCTAACCAACAGACGTAATGAAACCTAACCTAACCCAGAATGTGGAATGACCTTCCCAACCATGTTAAACACTGTACCTCTCTCAACTAGTTTAAGATAAAAACTAAACACTACCTAATAAATTCCCTGTAACCTACCTCACTCCTCTATTGTCAACCCATGTCTGTAATTTTTTTTTGTTTAATCAACACTGTTTGTCAACCTATTGTATTTGTGCTGCTTTTTCAGTCATGTTCCCCCTTTTTTTTTATCTTTATTTGTATTTGTTCTCAACACTTTTTATTCTTTATGCTCAATTAGTATTAAGTTCTAGATATTAATGTTTTTCTTGCCCAAAACGCATTGCGTAATAGTGGCTTTAGGCATTGTATGTACTAGCTCTATCTATATATCAATCCATTAATGTAACATCACTTGTATGTATGTATGTACCTTACCTGAATAAACATATTTATTTATTATTTATTTATTTAACCAACAGACGTAATGAAACCTAACCTAACCAACAGACGTAATGAAACCTAACCTAACCAAACGTAATGAAACCTAACTTAACCAAATCAAACCTAGCCATAGATAGAGAATAAATAATAGCACTAATTATGTATTCATTCTAATTCCATTCCTATGAGCGTATTTCCGCCCCAAGGATCCTGAGCGCGATTTTTGAGCCGAATTCTGACTCTCTGCACCTATTTTTATTTTCAAATAATGACCTTTTATACCGAAAATATTTTAATTACTGAAAACGGCGATGGGTCATATTTTGCCCAAACCCCCCTGCAGTTTTCAAAATGTCTGAAATGTCGGAAATTTGACTCCTGAGCGCGATTTTTGAGCCAAATTGTGACTCTCTGCACCTATTTTCATTTTCAAATTACGACCTTTTATACCGAAAATATTTTAATTACTGAAAACGGCGATGGGTCATATTTTGCCCAAACCCCCCTGCAGTTTTCAAAATATCTTAAATGTCGGAAATTTAACTCCTGAGCGTTATTTTTGAGCCGAATTTTGACTCTCTGCACCTATTTTCATTGTCAAATTATGACCTTTTATACCGAAAATATGCAAATTACTGAAAACGGCGATGGGTCATATTTTGCCCAAACCCCCTGCAGTTTTCAAAATATCGTATATATCGGAAATTTGACTCCTGAACGTGATTTTTGAGCCGAATTCTGACTCTCTGCACCTATTTTCATTTTTAAATTACGACCTTTTCTACCGAAAATATGTTAATTACTGATAACGCCAATGGGTCATATTTTGCCCAAACCCCCCTGCAGTTTTCAAAATGTCTGAAATGTCAGAAATTTGACTGCAGAGCGTGATTTTTTAGCCGAATTCTGACTCTCTGCATCTATTTTCATTTTCAAATTACGAACTTTTATACCGAAATTATGCTAATTACTGAAAACGGCGATGGGTCATATTTTGCCCAAACCCCCCTGCAGTTTTCAAAATGTCTGAAATGTCGAAAATTTGACTGCAGAGCGTGATTTTTGAGCCGAATTCTGACTCTCTGCACCTTTTTTCATTTTCGAATTCCGACCTTTTATATCGAAAATATGCTAATTACTGAAAACGGCGATGGGTCATATTTTGGCCAAACCCCCCCGCAGTTTTTAAAATATCTGAAATGTCGCAAATTTGACTCCTGAGCGTTATTTTTGAGCCGAATTCTGACTCTCTGCACCTATTTTTATTTTCAAATTACGACCTTTTATACCGAAAATATGCAAATTACTGAAAACGGCGATGGGTCATATTTTGCCCAAACCCCCCTGCAGTTTTCAAAATATCGTATATATCGGAAATTTGACTCTTGAAAGCGATTTTTGAGCCGAATTCTGACTCTCTGCACCTATTTTCATTTTCAAATTATGACCCTTTATACCGAAAATATGCTAATTACTGAAAACGGCGATGAGTCATATTTTGCCCAAACCCCCCTGCAGTTTTCAAAATATCTGAAATGTCGGAAATTTGACTCCTGAGCGTGATTTTTGAGCCGAATTCTGACTCTTTGCACCTATTTTAATTTTCAAATTACGACCTTTTATACCGAAAATATGCTAACTACTGAAAACAGCAATGGGTCATATTTTGCCCAAACCCCCCTGCAGTTTTCAAAATATCGTATATATCGGAAATTTGACTCCTGAACGTGATTTTTGAGCCGAATTCTGACTCTTTGCACCTATTTTAATTTTCAAATTACTACCTTTTATACCGAAAATATGCTAATTACTGAAAACAGCAATGGGTCATATTTTGCCCAAACCCCCCTGCAGTTTTCAAAATATCGGAAATTTGACTCCTGAACGTGATTTTTGAGCCGAATTCTGACTCTCTGCCCCTATTTTCATTTTCTG